AAAGGGGGACCAAATGGGAACTAAAGGGGGACCAAAGGGGAGCCAAATGGGAACTAAAGGGGGACCAAAGGGGGGCCAAAGGCGGCACGGCCCCCAACCCAGGTGCCTGCCCTCACACCCCACAGAGCCAGACTCTGTCTCTGCCGGGGTGAAAACAAACTACAAATCCTGTTTTCAGCCGGTCGGGGGGCCTGGGGGTGGGGGGGGGGTGGGGAGGATTCCCAGAGCTCCTGCCTCATTATGTCAGGCCCAGCTGTAAATATTTGGGGCGGCCCTTTAAATATTTAGCCGTCTCACCCTCGGCCAGCACCACGTCCTTCAGCTTCTCCACGGCCTCGGCGAAGCGCGCCACGTCCCGCAGCAGCGCCGGGATGTCCTCCACCTCGATGGCCGTGCTCTCCGGGCCCTCCGACTGCGGGGAGGGGGTCAGCGCCCCCCGGCCCTGGCCCCGCGTGTGGACCCAGGAGGGCAGCGGGAAGCCTGAGGGGGGGGGGGAGACACTCGCTTAGCGGTGGGAAGTTTACAGAAAATAAACGAAAGCCGGTCTGGACTCTCTGGACCAGAGAAGCTCCCCCACTCCACATTTTGGGAATCTCTCTTATGGAGAGAGTCCGATGGACGCTCGGGTCACATGACCAGTGGTGTCACACGTTTGTCCTAAGACAAGAAACCCATTTGTCTCACATCCTAACCATTAAAGTGTATTTTAAGCAAACTAATGAGACACCGAACATGATACGACTGCTACTTTAAACAAAAAATATTATATTTGAAGGCTGATTTCTCTATTTTAGGTCATTTTAAATGAGTTTTTTGTATTTTGGAACACACTGGATTGACTTTCTAATCAGTTTTTGTATTTTCTGCAAAAATAGCACAGAAAAATACAGAATGAGGCCCACTGTGGGCTCCAGCTCTGACAAGCTCAGGCCTCAGATTGGTCAGAACCAGTCTGGGGAGGCCATGGGACAGGTGCACGTTAGAGGGGGGGGGCGGTCAGACCTGCGGCGCTGGCGTGGCGGCTCAGGGCGGTCGGCCTCTTCAGGGTGGAGGCGGGCGACGGGCAGCCCCCCCCCCTGCAGGGCGGCCAGCTTGCCGTGCTGGAAGCTGGGGGTGCCCGGGCAGGACAGCGAGGCGTCCTGCAGGCCGGCGGAGGCCGGGGCGAGGGTGGACGAGGCCGAGGACGGGCAGGGCGAGGAGGCCAGCGCCGGGTCGCCGCCGTCCCTCCGGGGCTGCTCCGGGAGGATGGACAGCTGCGGGCAGAGACACAGGATGGGGTCAGAGAGAAGCCTGAGGTGGCCTGAGCGGCCCGGGTCAGCCCGCCCAGGCCAGGCCCGGACCGCCCGCGGCCTCCATCAGCAGCAGCGCCGCTGTTGGTAAACACACAGAGGAAGACTTTCACAAGATCCTGCAGAGCAGCGTTGTGCAACACTTCCTGCCTCGGAGCGGCCGTCGGGTGTGGCAGAACCAGCAGAATACAGCCACTGTTTGGGGTTGAAACTCAGGGGACGAGCTCACAGGCCGCCCAACCGAAGACTGAAGAAGAGCCGGAGGACACTTAAGCCCGTTTGAGCGTTTTGTATGGTTCTTTTAGTTGATTTGGGTTTTTTTTTTTTTTTTTTTTTACTCGACTGCATCATCACCAGCAAAGTTTGAGAGCTCATGTCAACCAGAAAGCAAAAAAAGGAGCATCCTGACAGAGCAGACGTACCTGTTTGAGCCACACCGAGTGCCTGTTGGGCAGTATGTCCAGTCTGTCCTTGCCTTTGGCCTCTCCTTTCTTAACCCTCTGGCCCGTAGAGTAAGGGTTGTAGCTACTCTTGCCACCACGTTTCAGCATTCTGGCCTCCGGTCACAGCCCGATCCCCATTCCAACTACAGCATCTGACCTCTTCTGATCTCCCCTGACCTGCTCTGACCACCCCCCTCACACTCACCGCAGCCTGGAGCACCGGCTCTACTTCCCCTGCCCCTCTAATCCAGATGATACCCGCACATTCTGCCCCCCCCGTTACCCTGCGTAATGTCCACCGCTGTCAGGAGTTTCTGGTTCGTGAGGTCTGAGCCCTTCTCTGGAGCCTGGCCCCTCCAGCCTAAGGTCATCTGACTCAACGCGCGCGCGCATACACACACACTCACACACACACACGCACGCACGCACTCAGACGCAGTCAAACCAGAAGTGATGCGCGCTACTCACGGCCGGCGCGCCGCTCTGCGGCCCGGGGCTTCCCGCGCGGCTCTTTTTGGAGATGGACGGAGTCTTGATGAGCTCCCGTCTCTTGTGCCTGCTGAACATCTTCAGGGTGCCTTTGCCGTCCATGGCGGCTTCTCTCAGCTTGACGCGCAGCCCCCCCACCCACCCCCCGACGCGCCACTTGCGTGCTGCGGGCCCGCCGGCGTTCAGCGGGAGCTCGGTGCCATCCGGGCCGACTCGGAGCGTCGGCAGCTGTCTGTCTGTCGTCTTCCTCCTCCTGCCGTCACTCATCGAGCCGCGCAAGGCTCGCGGGGACGCGCACGGCTCACCGCAAACTGCCTGTGTGCGCCCCTGGCATCCGCTGTGCGCGCGCGCTGGGGGAGGAGGAGGAGGAGGAGGAGGTGTAGCGCGCGGGTCGCAGTTGACTCACTCACTCCTGCAAAACTTTCTCGACAGGCTGACTCGGCCCGAGAATGTAAGAGGCAGGACGGCGGGACTCGTGGCGCACTCCTTGCTCCTGTTCCCGGTCAAATCCACGCAGCCTCCGGCGCCAATCAGTCCGTCAACGCGCACACCTGCGTCTGCCACACGTGACCCGCCCTTACACCTGCAGCACGAGCAGAAATCACGGGTTTCAGGCCTGAAAACGCGTTTGAATGCATCTCCACAACTGTCCGATAGTAAAGGGAACGACTCCAGTGTCTCCTTCAAGTACCTGAAAATAAAACGTCTCATGAAGTTTCTTTTAAAAGAAAAAAAAACTTTATTAAGAAAAAGTGGATTAGTAAGAGCTCAAATCTGCAATAAAGTTTCCCAACAGGCCTGAAAAGGCCCCGGATGAGTCGCTGTGAAACACATCAGGGCTCCAAACATGTCTTTGTAAGAGTGTGCCATATTCCAATACTGAATGTTGTCGAAAATTTTGTACGTGCGACTTGTTGCACAGTTGTGTGAGTCGCTCACTTTAAGGCCAACTCAAACCAAAGAGTCAGCAGCAGGCTCTGGACTGAAACTGGGCCAGAAAGTGTTGCCCAGCTTCAAGCAGACCAGGAGGGAAAACCTCTTCTAAAACTGGTCTGCTGACAGGAGAAAAGCAACAAGTGGTACGTGTAACTACACACAATAAAAGTGTTCCTCCTTCAATCCATCCTTATAAAGGATGAAGGTAAAGCCAGGAAATCTGGATGAGATTGATTTAAAGTTCCTATTTTACAAGCGTTCTAAAGGTAGTTTCTTCTGAAGTGTTTTTGGAAGTTTGGTGGGAATATTCGTAGATTGATAAGTTTGGTAAATTTTTTCCAAATTCCTTTCTATCCAAACAAAAAAGGAGCCTACAAAGAACAAGAGGAGTTCCTGTTTGTCCCACTGGGACCAACACTATTAGATGAATATGAACTGAAGCATAGTTCACAAAGAGAGCTCATAATTATGACATGTTGCCCTCAGGTGGATCATAAAGTAACTGCAGGATGTTCCTGCCCTTACCCAGGCATGGCATCAAGACTGAGGGATTACAGCAAACAGGAACAATTTAAATTTCAAATATATGTCTCAACATTTTCAAGACTTTCTCTCGGAGCGACGATGTAATGATCGTTTGTCTGTTTTAATCTGAACTAAAACTGCTGTCCTCCAGTGGAATATTAAACTAAAGTGGATTTAAGGTCCCTGTGGCTCTGTTCTCTTTGTAAAACTATCCCTAATGAATGGTAAATATTCATCACTCTTCTCTGTCTTCCTGTCTTTTTTTTATATTTAAAAAAAGTCTTCATGTAGAAGTTAGAACATAGCAGAAAAGGAGAATGCAAAAGAAAAAAAAAGACAGAAGGGAAGTGTGACAAATGCCTATTTTAAAAACATCAGATGAGTTTTGAAAAATGCCTGTTTCCTCTGCCAACCAGTTCTGAAAGCTGCTGGACAACCCAGTGGGGCATGGCGACCATTTCTCTTCACTACAAAAAATGTGTTAAAACATTTTCTTGTATAAATTTGAATATACCTTAAATTTGTTATTCTGCCACGTCAGATTTGAAAGAAACATATTTGATTAAAGTGGTAGATAAATAATGTTAAAAAAAAATAGTTGTGGATTGGGAACCAATTCACAACATGAGTAAAAAAATAGATTTTTACTCATGGAGTGGCATTTGAGTACCTGCTCCAACTTTACTGTTTAGTGACAGTTCTTAGCAACAAATACCATTCAAACTTAACTCTCACCGTTTCCACACGTAACAAGAATTCCCCTTTAAGGAAGAAATAACAGACGATGTAGGTAAATTATTGGACACAGTCATGTTTAAATCAGGAAATGGTTTAATGTAAAAAAATGTAAAAGAATGAAAAAAGTTGCTAAACAGACTAGTTTATTAATCATTCCTAATAAAAGTAAGACTTGTATATTACAGCTATGACATATTCACATTCATTTTTCAACATAAAAAAAATGTAAAAGAAAGCAGGCACTTGCTCTTTTTTTTTTTGGTACGTTTAACTAACGATCGCAGTTATTCTGAACACTTCCCACTTTCTACCCCTAAACAACACGGTTCTCCACAGATAAATTAAAAACATGTCAGTAATCTCAGAAGTGAATAAGAGTTTGTTGAGGGAGTGAAACTTTGCTTTATGGACAGTTTGTCTAGAGTTCAGTGGCGGGACCCCACTCGATGTCCTCCCCCTCTTCCTCCTCCTCCTCTTCCTCGCCCTCGGAGCTGTCGCTGCCTCGGATCTGTGTGCGTCTGAACTGGAGCGCTTGGTGATGTGCCAGCCTGTGAAGGGAAGAATGGAGAGGGGGGAAATCAGCAGCAGGCCTCCGTCTTTTTACTCTGTGAATGATAATCGGCAGCGGAGGACTCACACCAGGAACTGAGGGCTTTTCTTGTCCTCTGCCTGCGGCTCTGCAGAGCGAGTCTGTAACAGAGGACGGAGGAGGACTTTGAACATGGATCTGTTGTGATTCCACACTGAAAGCAGATTTAAACTCATGCTACTGCAGGCCTCGCCTCCCCAGGAACCTTTTGTGCTCATCCCTCTCTCTCACAGGATTCAACTTTTCTTTTAGAAAAGACAACTTGGGGACTTTAAAAGGAGGATTTTCAATGTGCTGTAATGATGTAAATGTTGGTTACAGCAAGAAATAAAAGAAACAAAACCAATGTTTAAAACACTAAAAAAACTTTCAAAAGCCCAACTCAGATGTTTAGGAAGCTAAATGTAGATTTAGAGATGTCAAACAGCACATTTGAATAATTTATGTAACTTTGAATCTTCTTAACAGGAAACATGGAAATCCAAAGCAAATGAGACATTATTACATAGTAATTACACGTGTCTCTGCACTTTGTCACATGTTTTTGTCCCAGACCCGGCTTACCTGCTGTAGTTTCTCTTCGATGGCGGACAGGCTGGGGGGCTCAGAGTCCTGCGGCTGCTCCTCGGCGTAGGCCGGCTGATTGGCCGAGTACCGAGTGGTGGGGTCGGGCGCCACAAAGTCCGGGGGCCCGTCCGAGGGGCTGTAGGGAACCGCTGCATCCAGGGCCTCGAAGTCGGAGTCGGTGAAACTGCGGTGGGAGGGGTCCTCCTCCTCCTCGGGGCTGTAGTAGTCCTGGCGGGGCGCGCGGGGCTCGGGCACGTGCATGAGGGGGGGCACCTCTTGGAGCGAGTACGAGTGGGCGCCCGGCTCCGGCGGGGGGGTTTGGAGGCCAGAGGCCGGCTCGGACGAGCGGGCCAGGGCGGCCCCGGGGCCCCGGGAGCCCCGGGGCAGCCTGGAGGTATCCTGGCCCGGGTAGGCCTCCTCCAGGTCCTCGTTGTCGGTGTAGGCCTCTCCGTCCGTGAAGGCCTCTCCGTCCGTGTCCTCCAGGTCGCTGGCAGCACTGAGGTAGTCCGTCTGGTTCTGGTCCAGAGCATCTAGATCCTGCTCCGCTCCGCTCTCCAGCTGGACAGAAGAGAAATCACACCAGCACATTTACAGTAGATGACCCCTCAAGAGATCTAGAGATATTACATAATAAAGAACATATGTATTGAATTGAAACTAATTGTTTTACTCCAACCCTTTCTCACTGTGATGTTAAAGGGCTGCCAGTTTCTGAAATCAAAAATCTAAAAAGCACAGAAATAAGAAGCGGTCAGAGCTAAAATGCCTCTGGAGCCTGGAGTAGAAAACAAGAAGGAGAGTCTACACAGACTTTTAGAAATCGTGTTGAAAACATTAATTGGTTGGGCATTTGAATTCAAATTTGAGATAGATAAAGATGTTTTGGACCAATTGTGTTTTATGAGCGATGAAACTAGTCACATATTTTATCTCCAGGTCAGTTACAATTTCTCTAAGGATGATTTTGAAGTGTTAACATTAAAATACACTGAAAAAAAATTTGTACTTTCTCTATTTTCTTCATCCCTTGCTCTGAATTTACTGGCAGAATTTTTTTTTTTGATTTGCGATTTCTGAACATTATCAGAGGTCAGTGTGTGTGCAAAGTGTGTGTGTGTGTGTGTGTGTGGAAGACTTGTGTGCTGTACCGTGACTTCAGACACCCAGACGGGTTTGGACTGCTGGTGGCGGATCTTATTTTTCAAACTGTCATACCAGCTGTGGGAGTCGGGCTGCAGATCCACGCGAGCTGACGGTCCAAGTCAGGGAAAAAAAACGCAGAAAAGAACCTTCTTAACTTGAACATTTGAAATATACGAGAGCCAGATGAGCTAACATTTCCCAGACGCTGAAAGCTTTGAGCTCTGAGGACTACCTGAGAAAAGATGGCTGCAGTCTCTCCGCATCTTGACGGCCTGCGAGTACAGGCGCCTGGAGCTCTTGTTGGAGCCGGGGCTGTACCTCTGCCTCATGGCCTTCACGTCCTTGCGGCTGTGCGGGTCTAAGAACAGCACCATGGGGTGGTACTGGATGTAGTTCAGCCTCTCCACCGCGGTGGGAGTGATGTCGAGCAGCGGGTGTTTGTCCTGAGAGGAGATGTTCAGTCCGTCAGAACAGGAGGAAACGGAAACCCTCGGTTTGAAGCAAACTCGGGACTGACCTTCTCTGCTATTTTCCTAACGGTGTCCAGTTTTATGACCGTTGAGCCGCTCTCTTTTGCTCCGCTACGAGGAACCATTTCTGTGGTGAAACAGCAGGAAAATAAAGAGAAGTCAAAATAGTCGTTTGGGAGAAAGCGCACAGATGGGGATATAAAACAAAACTCGATGTCGGGCCGGAAAGAACCAAAAAGAAGAAACCGACCTGCCACCTCATAGTCGTCAGGCAACTCTTTGGCCAGCTTCTCCATGGCGATGTCATTCAGAGGACCCAGAATGACGATGGGCCGCTTGAAATTAGCTGAAGACACAAACATTTTGGGCGTGTTAAAGGGTGTGGGGCTGGTCGGGGGTGGGGGGACACGGGCCTAAGAGGGAGAGGCGTCAGCAGGCCTACCTTCCCTGAGCAGAACTCTCTCGTAGGCCGGGAAGTTGCCCTGAATGGTCAGCTGGAGCAGGTCCTCGCGGGTCCGCCTGTTGTTTTTCTCGTTCTTTTTGTTCCCTCGGAGCCCTCTGAGTTTCCAGAACTCGGCTCGGGGTCCCGTCACGGGCCTCTCCCCGCTGGCCCGCTGCGCCCGCTCCACGGCGGCCAGCCGCTCCGCCCTGTGGACGGAGAGACGGCGGTCAGAGGGGCGGGGCGGCTGCCGGTCAGCCGCTCCAGCGCCTCTCCCCCCCCCACTGACTTGTCCTGGTTGGGGATGGTGCCTTTGTCCATCTCGTGCAGGTCGTTGCCCATGCGCACGGCCAGCCAGGAGCCCATCTTCCCGCGGTGCATGGTGTCGGTGACCCGGAACACCTCCCCCCTGGTGAAGTTCAGGCCGATGGGCGCGTCCGCCTCGTGGTCGAAGTGGGTGCGGATGTAGAAGTTGTCTCCCAGGTTGGACTTGATGATCTTTTTATAAACTGCAGAGGTGAAGTTAGCGCCGGTCGGGGCTCAAAGGAAGGCGCCCTGAGGTAGTCGGGCCCCACACTTACGGTTTATCTTGGTCTGCGTGCAGATCTCCACCTGTTCTCCAGTCTGGATGTTGAGCAGGAAGTTGGCGGCTTCTTCTCGAGTGAAGTGGCCGAAATCAACTTTGTTCACCTGAACGGGATGAGAGGGGAGCCGGGTTTAGTTCACCTCTTCTCCAGGTCGGGGGGGGGTGCTGCGCTCCGGTGCAGGGGTGCACCTAAATGAGGCACCTGCAGGATCTGGTCTCCCTCCTTCATGCCCTGCTCGTACGCCGGGCTGTTCGGCTGGACGCCGCCCACAAAGATGCCCACGTCGTTCCCCCCCACCAGCCTCAGGCCCAGGCTGCGCTCCTTCACAAAAGTGACAGTCTGCACGTCCGAACTGTACCTGCGAGGCAGAGAGGAAAACAACAGTCTGCTGAGCTCCATTTTCCACAGGTTTGATTAGCTTCTAGCTGCTGAAACGGCAAACAAACAAGCAAACAGGATAGAGAATCCTCACCCTGGATTTGGAGATGGGTAAGAATCTGGAGGTAGAGAATAAAGGGGCTCTTCTACCGGCTTTGCTGCAAGAGTGAGATGTAGATCGTTATTACTTACAGAAGATGAGCCACTACATGTTAGAACAGGAGTCAGCCAGGTCAGAGTTAGGGTTAGGGTCAGGGTCAGGGCCTGGTTATGAGCCTTACAGTGGAGCGGCGTGTTGTTCTTCACTGAAATGCCGGACCGGACGGTGCCGCCGCCGTTAGTGGCTCGAGGAACACTGCCGGGCAGAGAAGCTATGGTTATCCACATCCGTCTGCAGGTCGGTCTTATCATCATTATTTCAAACATTTAAACTTTATTCAAACACATCAGAAATATGTATTTATTTAGGAGGGCAGAAGAGACCACCACAGTAACATATTAACCTGATGAATGCCGCTCAGAATGATTGAGAATGAAATGTGAAATATGCCAGAATTTGTAGAATGACAGCTATTTACAATCTGCTCCACCTTCTGAGGAAGAGGAGATAAATTCCTACAGTGTCCACCTTCTACTCAAACATGTGCGTGTGGTGCTTTGGGGCCTCTGTACCTGCGGCGGCTCTGCTCCGGCTCAGAGCTCCCAGACCTCCGGAGGTGGGAGAGCTGATCCGACCCGGAGGAATCTGAACACAGAGAAAAAGAGACGATCGTCTTTGCTGCGACACGACAGTGGGAGCGAAGGGGGGGGGGGGGGGGGGGGGGGCGGACCGTCGGGAGGAGGCCTGGCGGGCGACGGGGCGCGGCGCTGAGACTCCTGCCTCACAGCGACGGACGTGGATATTTTAGGCATTACCCTGTAAGAGCACAGACAAACGCACAGTAAGAACAGACAAAGCTGTATTAAACAATAGTCAGAGCTCCACTTTGCGTTTAGCTTTTACTTTGACTTTTTATTCTGCAGAAGTTTCAACATTTAATCTTTTTATATTTTAATCCTTTATAGTAGTAACTAATACACAAAAAGCTAACACTCATTAAAGCTTTTACACTTCTTCCTTTAAAAAAAAGCAACAACTCCTTATATGATCACTATAAATCTCCCCCTTAATTTTAAATGTTTTTCACCTAAAATGTTACTGTAAACATGTGTGACGTCTAATCTGACGTTGAATTTGTCTGAAAATCTCAGTCTGGTTATTTCCACTTAAAGATGCTTCAGGCCAACCAGGTAGGATATTTTTTACAGAGGTTAACACTGAAAGAAAGCAGGCTTAATGTAAGATATAAAGGATGAGGATAAGTCTAAAGAATTTCAAAGGTTTTGAGCCCCTTTTGATACCAAAGATGCAACATCTCTGCTGCTGTGTGGTCAGTATCTGATAGTTATGACATATAGAGCATCTCTCACCTCTGTCTGTGGGCTGGGTTAGAGTCTCCGCTGTCTGTGGAGCTCCTCCGGGGGACGGATGCATAACTGGCGTCCGAGTCAGAGTCCGGCCGAGCTGCTGCTGTGACTAAAACATTAAATCAATAAAACACAAAGCAGCGTATATTCCTTTGGGTTTGAGCCCTGAGCGATTCCCGTAGTGGGCAGTGGAGTGTACTGGCACACACCTCTGGGTGGGGAGCTGCTGGTCCTGCTGGCCGGCGCTGGCTCCACCTGCTGGGGCTGCAGGGAGACGTTTGGCAGGACTCTGGAAGAGAAGAGAAGAGAGGGAGGTGGGAGTGAGGGAAAAGGAAGACAACAAATCTCAGTTACATTTGGCAAAGGGGGACCAGTGGCTAAGACTATTAATGATGAGGCTGAGACTGAAATGTTGAATATTCACCTTAGAGTCTCTGAGGGAAGCTCTCTGTGACGGTTTACTGCTTTGTGACTGATAAAATTAACCATCTGAATTAGTGTGGTTTCTAACTCGTGCTCAGATTTAGGCTGACTCTCAGACATGCCCGCTCGCTCAGGCTCTGCTCTACAGGACTGATTAGAGGACTGCTGCTTCAGTGATAAGTGTCCTGGTTTGATCAGCACTTTGCCACATACAGGAGAACGTGTTCAGTGAAAGTCACTTTTATTTAATCTGTTAACAAGATGTCAGCATAGTTGATATACAGTCAAAACACAAATCCAGAAAAAAATAAAAGGGTATAAAATTACTTTAAACAAAAAATTTAATCACAGAAACACAAAAAAGGTAATTTAAGTTTTAAAGACAATTCAAATTGTTTAACAATGAAAGGGCTGTGAAGTCTGTTCAGCTTCCGCTCCGTGAGATGTTGCTGAGTTTCGGGTTTGGAGGATCTTCATGTGTACCTGTATCGACTGAGCGAGTCCTGACTGTACGTGGTGCTCTGCCTCTGGGGAGGCCCCGAGAAGCCATCCGATTCAGAGTCAGAATCTGCCAACAAGCACAAACCACAGGACTTTATCATAAAGTGGTGGATTTCAAACCTAAAAATAATGAGTTTGTTCATCGATTCATTCACACTGAAGGAGACAACTGTTTGAAAAAAGAAGAGGAGCTTAGTTGGTGTTTTTTCTCTCTTTCTTTGCATTCAACTTTTCTTTAGCAGGTACTTAAATTAAACACTGTCGGATGAAATGTGAGATATGAATGAACACGTGTGTGTGTGTGTGTTTGTGCTGACCCGGAGGCGGGATTCTAACAGGCGAGTTGACCCTCCTTGGCGGCTCGTTGCGAACGGGGATGGGTGATGCTCTCAGAGTCCCGAGGGGAATATCAGGAAGAACTCTGCAGAGCGACAACATGAGTGAGGAAAGCTGAGACGAAGCAGGAGAATCCCAGTTCTGTGTTGTACGTCTCTGTTTTTGTGTGGATGTGAATCCACATAACAGTCGGGATGTTGCCTTTACTTGTATCTGTCTGGGCGGGGGGCCTCTCTGCGGGGCGGGGAGGGGCTGCGATCGGAGTCGGAGTCCGACACAGGCCGGCGAGGCCGAGAGGCCGAGGAGGTGGGGCGAGATGTCCAGCTGTGCTGGACAGGAGAGGACCGGGGGTTGGGAAGAGTCGACATTCCTGACAGACTTCTGGATAAACAGGAAAGAAAAACCAGAGGATCAATTTACAGTGTAGATTAAAAGAAGGTTACCTCAAGTTTTAGGAGATGCTTTTATCTAAGAGCTCATGTGTAAAACGAAACCCATGAAGAGACTCATTTTAGTTTCTCTCTTATTTCTATAGGCATCCACATCAGTGTTTCCCAACCCTGGTCCTTCTGATTCAAATCAATGGGAAAGCTCTTTAAGCCCTGCAGAAGGCTGATGACGACACATTCATTTGAATGGGGTGTGCTGGAGCAGCATGCAGGGCAGTGTGTCACCAGGACCATGGCAGGAAAACACGGATCCAGATACTGTCGAGTGACTCAGCGCATGCAAAGCATCCCTCTGCTAACTCAGCAAAACGGTTTGGACTGACTTGTACTTGCTGGCGTGATCCCTCGTTTCTGGGCTGTGTCTCCTGACGGGGGGAGGAGACGCACTGCGGTCGGAGTCCGATTCAGATGGAGCTGCAGAGACAAACATTTGAAACATGACGGTGCTGTTATCCGGCCCTCTCGTCCTCATGAGAGCAGACCGTATTCGGTCACAGCTCAGCTTCATGTATTGAGGTTTTTCGGCATGTTTCAATGGCTCAGATTTGAGTGAGTGTGAAGGAGAAAAGTGGCAGCTAGTGGACTCACCTCTGCGGGGGGCGTAGGCTTTTGCAGGAGGTCGGCTCAGCGTGGAGCGCACCGGCGACGGGTCGCGAGACTTGGCTCGTGGGGGGGGCTCAGCTCTGGTTCTGGGTTTGAAAAAGATTGGCATTATTTTTTTTTTTTACAAAACTCCTCCGTCCTCCCACAGACATCGTTCACATCGTTTTGATCTGCACCTGCGTGTGCGCTTCTCTCTGGTGGGCTGGCGGGACGTCCTCCGAGGGGTGATGTCCTCCTCGATGTCCGAAATATCTGGTGGGACACCGGAAATGCTCTCAGATAAAAGCGGCCGGTGATTTAACGGGCGTGGCTGAGCCCATCTCCCTGCTCCCACAGGGGGGCCTTACCCTCCAGCTCGGAGCTGCTGTCCCGGCGCCGCTCCTCCTCGCTGTTGGGGGCGCTGTCCTCCACCTCCGGGATGCTGACCAGGAACCGGCGGTCATCCCTGAGCACCGTCATGGTCAGTCTGCCTCTGCTCTTCTCCACCAGGTGCTTGGTCTCCAGCAGGGATAGGTTCTCTGTGGTCATGCCGTTGATCTGCTCGGTGGAGACGGACTGATGAAGCCAAAGCCGAGGAGGAGCCTCCTCGGCTTTGGCTTCAGGAGCAGAAACAGACCTTCAGGATCAGGTCTCCCTCCTGTAGCGTGCCCTCCTTCGCGGCCAGGCCGCTCTCCGTCATGTGCTTTATGAAGATCTGACTGCCCAGTTTCAATCCATACTCTGACAAAAGATGAAACGAGCAGAGATCAGCCCTTCCTGAAGACGGCCGGTGCAGACGTGGGAAAAGCGACTACTCAGCAAACACCCGTTACCGTCAGTGATCTTCTTTTTGACCAGAGTGGTTTTGATGGGTTTGTCGGCCGAGGTGTTCTGCGGCAGCCGCTTGTACCCCGTGGACATGAGGGGCAGCGTGTTGGTGAAGCCGTTGCGGTTGGGGGAGGGGCTGCGGGTGCGGGAGCGGTAGCGGCCGGCGTCTCTGTGGTCGCTGCCGTCGGAGAAGCGGCGCGCTCGCCTCGGGGGGTCCGGGTCCAGCAGGTTGGACTGGGAGGCTGCTCGGGTGGGTCTGGTGGTTGCTGGGATCTGGATCTTTCGAGGACGTTTCACAGTCTGAGGAGAGAGGAGATGTCAGAATGGGCCCATCTGACCCTGACCCAGTCAGAGCCTCCCTCATGCTTACTATGTTTGCAGTCTTGCCGCATGACTTGAGGGTCTGGATGGTGTAGTTGGAGTGGACGTTTTCCATGGATACTGCATTGACCATGACAATTTGGTCTTTGTTGCTGAAAAGACAAAAGAGTGCTGCTCCTTTCATGGGATTTCACAAAAGCGACGGTTAAAATGAAAATCCAGCAGCGGCGACAGGACTGAACTTACAACAGACGCCCCATGGCCGGCCCGTTTGGAAGCACATCCGACACCACCACCGCCGTGTCCCCATTGTCCGGGTGAGGCTTGTCTTTCCCTCCCGATATCGCGAAGCCGAAACCAAATTTGGGATCCTGCCATTTTGAGAAAAACAGAAAACAGGTGATGAGACAGACATGGAAAAAAAATTAAAAAAGACAGACAGCACATGAATGAGGGATAAAGAATGCAGGGCAGTGAGTGGGCCGGCTGCGATCATGAGTGGAAGATGCAGAGCAGAGATAGAAAGAGACAAAACACATTCCAGCAGCAGGACGGTGGCGGGCCGGCGGGTGGCGTGGGGCGCAGCAGGGCGTGGCCCGGAATTCCTGCCCGCGGTGAAACCGAGAGGTCCACCTCAGCCCCCGAAAGTCCCTCACCATAGTCTGAGAAACAGTACTGAAACCGCCCCCGAGCCAGAGCGCTGTGCTTCCACTTGTGTTGCCACAAACCAAAGAGCTAAACAGGCCGCAGAGGCCTTCAGTTTGTTCAGCCTAAGCCCTTCGACATGCATCATTTAGCCTCGACCAGAGCACTTACTTTAACAAGCGTTATCGTGTGCTGCTCCCATATTGTTAACTCCTCCATGCCGGGCTTCTGGAAAGACAAAAAGACACATGAACAACACAAAACTTCGGCGACAGACGTTTAACGGAGGGACTATCCGGCCATCGGTGTGTGAAATGGGTCCTTACAGTGAGGACAGTTGATCCGTCACCGAACAGAAAGAGTGTTTGTTCTGCTCAACCTGCTGCAAGCATGCTCACACCTGTCTGAATCCTGCCTGACCGGTATGGAGGAGGGGCTTCCTGGTATGTGTGTACATACCTGCTCATATCTCTGAAGGGTGGACAACAGTCACTGCTTTTTTTAATAGTAAGAATTTAAAAAAATTATTAAAAAGTAAAAATAGACAACAAGTGGAGACGAAAAGAGAAAATATTGCAAAGATGGTTCAAGTAAAAAAGGTTCCACTGTGAAATTATCAAATTTTTTCTACTGTGTAGTTTGTCCATCAGAGCAGAACTGAGAAGATTCAGTTTGCTGTAATGGTAAACAATGATGAGCTTCACAGTCTGTCATCTGATCGGAGGGGGGGGGGGGGATTACACAGGAAGACTTTACCTCATGTGATACTATAACTTCCTATGTAAACAGTCCCTGTCTGGTTACTCAGCCCTGGAGAGCGGTGAAAGTGGAGAGCGTCAGCTGACAGGTTCCACGGGCCGTGATCGTTTCACCCAATAAAAACCTTTTTACTGACGTCCCCGTCAGACTCATGCTCACACCGCCCAGTTTTATCAGTCACTTTTTATTCAAAACGAGGAGGAAACAAACAACCGAGGTGACAGGATGTCATCAGACTCAGTCAGGAGGCCTCATGATTTGCTTCTCCACCATACAAACCTCATACATACAAATAAACAAACAGGCACACAGCCCAGCAGCCTGAGGAAACTGATGCTGATCTACGAAGAAAAAAATGCCAGAATGATGTCTTTTGTTGTCGCCGGCAGTCAAAGACAAATTGGAGTTCAGCAAACCGGACAGATGGAGGTCAAGCTGGGATGTTTGTCAGCCTTTTCTAGAGGTTTACTGGCAGGGAAACCCTCCCACGTCCCTACTGACACACAGTCCTACAACACACGTTCCGCTAAAAAACAACTTAACAACAACTCAGGTCTGCTCCCTAACATGTAAAACTAACACCACCCTAAAGAAGAGCAAAGACCAAACGGAGGACAGGCTTCATGAATGCTGCTGCTGCTAAAGGTGCCCAGTGTGTAACCTTTGAACAGTTGGTGCTTGTTTGACTAAGTTAATGATAAACGTGGGAGGGAAAAGAGAGATTGGCCACAGAAGCGCTGCTCGTTCTGACTTCATGCCAAGCTACCATTTGACTGTGACCAGATCTGAAGTTTGGTTATGTTACCTGCAGCCAGTTTTAGCTGAAGAGAACAACACGGCCACCACTGAACCCCCACTCACAAGTGATCTGGAGTAAGAAAAAAAGCCTGCATACACATAATTGAATGCTTCATTCAGCCCCTTCTGATGGAGGAAAACACCCTAGATAATAAACCAGGACTGGTAATAAAAAGAGGGCAAAGAGCAAAGTAATGAGTTAAATTTACCACTGAAAGGACTGAAAATGGGTCAGCTATATTGCTAACGTTAACTGGACTGAGAGCACCATGATGATGGAGCAAAATGATGAGAGGGAAACAACTAATAAAAGGGTCTTTCAGAATAACTGAAACTAGAGCTGGATGAGTTCTTGACAGCAGTCCATCAGAAACCTGTTGATCTGTAGAAACCGGCCAGGCGTGCTCAGATCCAGCCAGCCAAGTCTGGTTACCGGCAGGAACTGCTGAGACACCCTGAAAACTGACGTGGGGCGTCCATGGAGACGAGCAGAAAGGATGAAATGCTCTTCTGTTTACTCTAAACATTACCCTTTAGAAAATGTCACAATGAAAGCTTGTGATTGCTTTTCTACCTCCTGACTTACCGTTTGGTCTTTGAACCTGACTTCCATCTCCCACCGGGGTCCCCGCCCTGAACAAAACACCTGCGGCCCTCAGCGAAAGGCGAACCCTTTTTGTTCCATACGGAGACTCCCAGTTATCCACCTCCAGAAAAACTCCCCCCTCAGATCGCCTCTCTTAGGATGGAAGTTGCTGTCCAGCCCAAAACTCGATCCTGCTGCTGAAATTATTTGTAACCTGAGCAGCTTTGGCGTTTCCCTCCCAGCGGTAACCTCACCGGGGGAGGGCTCCTCCCCCTCCAGCCTTTGCCCGCTCGCAGAGCTACTCTCAGGTGGCCTTTGAGGGAGAGGATTTAAGGTGGAGCTCCACGGCCTCCCACCAGACCAGAGCAGCGAGGCAACGCTCAACATCACCCAATCAGAAGAAACCCAGCGACAGCAGCGCCTTTTGTTTCCCATCTCTGGTCCAAATAGTTTGTCCGTTTAGTGAGTAAATTGTCCAATTCAGCAGTCCGAATGAGTCATTAAATAAAAAACATTGGGAAAAGATTCTGAAAATATTTTTGGAGTTGGTTACTCTTCAAGTTGTCCAAAACTAGCTAATGACCTTGTTAATGCATCTCTTTATCATCAGTCACCATTAAATCAGAATAAATTCATAATTTAGGGTGGAATTTTGACTTTATCTGGATTTCTTAAAGTTTTATTATGGAAAGTGTTGTTAGTTTATACCTTTTTCCTAAACATTCAACAGTGATCTCAGGAATAAATTAAACAAACTTTTGGATATGAACAGACTTGACGAAAAGCATGTTTAAAAAATAGCTCATGGAGCTGAAATATGCTTAAAATCATCAAAACACAATCTCCCGTCTTAGTTACTAAAAAGCAACTGATCCAATGCAACACAAATCAACTCGTGTGCTCAAACCACAACAACTTGTAAGATGAATGTTCCACACTTACAGGCACCACCAGCAGAGGTGGGGGGGGCTCCGGGGGGACGGAGCCAAAGTGTTTCAGCAGCTTAATGCGCTGCGTCAGATTCATGACGGTAACAGCCCGAGGTCTTCTTCTCCTTCACCCAGTCAGCCCCACACACAGTGGTCTCCACCGGGGGTCACTCAAAAAGGTCTGAAGGCCTCAAAGAAAAAACAAGCCACGGAGAGACGGCGGCCGAGGCTACTACTACAAAAAAAAAAAAAAAAAATCGAGACTAAAAAAGGAAACCAGATAGGTAGCGGATCTGTGACGGCAGAACTGTGGTTTCTATCCTCAACTATTCCCTCTGTAAGTTGCTCCTGAAGTGAGAGGTCCGGAGCTCCCGGTTCCTCTGGTCTGTGTCCCCCGTGGTCAAGGTTCCCACAGGGCAGCAGCGGGTCCAAGGCTGCTGGCCGGGTTTCAGTGTGCCGGCTGCTATGGTTACTCTGGTGGAATGAGTGCACTGGGCTGTTAATAATTGACGGGCTGTTTGCCACTCTATAGATCCCCCGGTCCAGAGTTAAGTTTCCTGGGCTCCTACAGTGGCTCTGTTGTGTCTGAGGATCAGGAAATAGCGCCGAGGCACCAGAGAGCCTCGATGTTATCTGGCTCACCGCTAACATTTGTGCACATCCTGAAGCACGAGAGTGCAGGAATCCACTTCTGTAGGCCTCGGATTATCGGGGCCGGCAGTACCGTCAGCTCCAACCGAATGCAAGTCGTAGGAGAAGAAACTCAATAAAAAGGCGCATCACTTTCAACACCAGAGAAACTTTATCCAGCATTAAAAGACAAAAAACTAAACCAGAACCAGAGGATTTTGTGGGTTTAGGAGAAGAAGCATAAGGCACACAGGAGCCTGGCCTGGGCTTCTCTGGGCCTGACAGCTGGGGGAAGCCACCTCATGGACGGTGAATTATTAATGAACGTGAATTAAACATGAAAGAGTAAAAAAGCATGAGGCAAAGGGATCCCTCCAAGATGATGAGTGAAGGCTCCTTCCTGGTTAGCGTCCGGCGTCCAGTGGCACACACCTTTGCGTTGGTCAGCACTGGACTCTGAGGCCACTCCTCAGATCATGCAAACCACCCACGGAGGCTCGGCCCGGTTCACAGCGCAATAACCCCAGAGCTCCCTTTACGCTCCGCCACGAAAACCAAACCAAAGCTCCTCAGCTCCACACGGCTTTAAATGAGCACCAGTTCCAGTAACGCCCGGCCGGAGGAGGCAGGAAGCCGGGCACGGGCCGGGGGCTTCTGGGTAATAAGGAACAACAAGGCTGCTCCCTGTAAACACAGCGCTCCGCAGCGCAAACACTCCAGAGGTTTACGCAGCCCGCAGAGTGGCTTTAATTACACAGGCCGGGGCTTTTTACCTCCATCCTAACAGGCCTGACGCCGGCCCGCCGACAGCAGAGCAAACAGACACTCCACGGCCACACAGATGCCTCCACTCAGTTATGAGACCACAACCACCATCAGTTAGAGTTAAGATCAAGATATCAGAAATCAGAAATACTTTAAAGAAAACTGGTACCAACATTATTTTTATAGGATAGTGTTTCATTAAGAAAATTTAAAGCCCTGCACTATAAACTCAGGGAGCTTAAATAATGAGAATATTACACACACTTTTTGGTCCTTTCAGTGTCTGACCAGTACAGGATCTGAATCAGGAAGTAAGAAAACAGAGCTGGACAAAATTAATTCCAGTATTTAAAATGACTAAAGCTCTGCTGTAAGGAGTTAAATTCAGAGTTAAATGAACCTTAAAATAAAGTTATGTAACAGAGATGAGTGGGTGAGGTCAGTGGTCCTGGACAGTTGGGCTTTAGTGTGAATAAACTTTAAAGAACTGTAATGACAAAAGGAGCCTGAACCTGACTGGGACGGAAGGAAAAGACCCAGCAAACTGGGAATGCAGCCGAAACTGTTGTGAAACTGTTGTGTCAGGCAGGCAGAAACTTGTAAGTGTGGCAGAACCAGTAAAGTGAGGCAGAAAAAAAGTCAGTCACCATCCCACCAACACAGGCATTTACACACACAGCGCAAACAAAACAGCTGCCCGTGAACTACCGCAAATTCCAGGGAAAAAAATCCTGAAAATCAAAAACATCACAATATTTTCACATTATTAAGACTTCGCTGACATTCTAGTTGACAATAAATTAAAAATACTCCGGAAACTTTTAAACTAAACTAGTTTTGGATATTTTTCTCCCATAAATTGACGTGGTTTGCTGATACGTGTCTAATAGTAAGAAATATTTGTACTCAACAGCTTCGTGTCTCCCTGCTTCACACACAAACATTAATAAACCGGAAAACGACGACAGAGGTAAAGCAAACGTACCTGTTACGTCTGTCTTTGTCACCAGAAGCGTCAATTCGTTGTTATCCGTATAAAAAGTTTCAAAAGTCCCACCGAGAAGTTATTTTTGAAAGAAATTCGCTGCTTGTTTTAGTTTTGACTGCTCACTTCTTAAATCTTCCAGAACTCAGGTGGGGGAGGCGTGGCGTCGCAGCTAGAACGTGCAGGTAGTTTCAAGACGTCATTACGCAAGCGCAGTGGCGTCGACCGGAAGTTCAGCATCCCCGTAGGGTTAGGGGTAAGCCTCCACCCGGTTTCTATTGGCATTAGCGACGTCATTTCAAGGAAGTCAAAGTATTTTAACGCAAATAAAGGCGAGGGACGTTGGTGTTATTAGTTTCAGTAAAACAGGAAGCTGGTTATTTATGAATGAGAGTCATTACAGAAAAATTAATAATTTATATCCTTACAGCTTGCAGTGTGCCAGCAGATTAAGCATCCTACAAAATGATAGGTTTAGATAAAACTAAATCAAGTGAACTCCATTTTATATTCCATCTCGTTGCCAGTTCCTTTTGGAACAAATGTCTTTGAAATAACATGACCACAAGTTACCAAGGGAGTCTAATGTCTACTGACAGCTCCTTTCATCCAGTTGTGTTGCATTGATCTAAGCATATCCCTGGCACACTTGTTGATCGTGTTTAGTTAATGCAGGACAGGAGTGTTTCAGGGTTTTGAAAGTCTAGTCCTTTTCATTGGAAACACTTATCTAATTTCAGAAGCATGAAGCAGCTATCATTTAAGAGCTTTCTGACAACGCCACATGTAAACGTGTTGCACAAATCCAAACAAACCTGCGGCGGACAACTGCGACCAACAAATGAGATTTGGTTTTCAGCAATCTTCAAGTTTTATTTGTTTACAAATTTAGGATCAAGATTGCATTTTCATATAGTCCTTCCTTTAATGAGTAGAAAACCTTTTTAAAGAATTAGTCGAAAGGCACAAATTTTACAATATATACATCTGGATCTAAATTATAAATATATAGAAAACAAAAGCACAACCCAGAATAAAAGTGCTGAACACAGTTTTTGTTTTATACAGAAAAAATAGGCTTTGTTTAAAAATACATACAATCAGTAGCATGTTTTTTGTTTCATTTTTTTGTTAGCAATAAATTATTTGAGAGTGATAACATTTATATAATATGCAAATGGTTGAGAAACAAAGAAAGATGGTTACAGTATACATAGAGCAATCCGTAAAGAACAGGAACAACAGGCTTGCACTGCTCAATCATAACCAACACACGAACAGTAACTGGATTATGCCATACTTAGTGCAAAATAAGAAAAATGATTAAAGGCCTAACTACACAGAAAAAGGATCGTTAAAAACAATGAAAGGCTTTTTTTCCTAAAATTGCTGTCCCCAGATGCATAAAGCTTTATGTCTGAAAGAAAAAAAAAACTCAATGGCAAAACTTTTGCAGACTGATGTGTCGGAATGTGCCTGATGAGGAATATAAAAAACAAAAAATAAACAAAAGAGCCTTGTAGGAGGATAACTATCATGAGTGAGTCTAATTCAACCAAACCATCTGGTGCACTGAAGGGGGGGGGGGACCGGCTGGACATTTGGGTAAAGTTGTAGGTTGACCCCAGAACGTGTCAAACTCCAGCAGATGCACACATAAAGGAAATGAAACGGTCAACAGAAACATAAAGTTTCTTTAAAAGAAACAGCCTTTGATCTTTGCCCTAAGATGGCATAAACATTTAGAATCACCGACATTTTCACAAGGACAAACAACAAACCCATCACATTAAGTCTAAAATATAAATATAGCAAGAGTCACAGCACAGAGTTAAGAAAAAAAACAGACCATGTATTCATTAGTTCCACTGCTGTTGGAAGGGAAACTATATATTTCCCCTTACGCCCCAATGTTACACCTCTTGTGGGTTTCTTCCTGAGATTGATAAAAGGTCTCATATCTTAGAGCCAGTCATTTTAGGGGTGTCTGTGAAACACTTTGGTATCTCTGCAAACCGAAGCCCGACAAAGGTCTACAAGTTGGAGAAACGACTCTACTCGACAAAAGCACAACTGAAAAGAGCAGAAATCCAGACGCTGTACAGCAGTACAGAACAGTGCAATCCTTTTTGGTGGCAGGTTATAATAGAATTTTTGTTTTATAGCAATTTTGAAAACGAGCAACTTCCCTGACCAAACATTTAGTTTACTACGATAATAAGCATGTATCTAAAATCTAAATCCCTTAAATATAAATAACAATAACTTTTATGATAACGATGAGTCGAACATCGGGAACGCATTGCGTTCATTCTGTCAAAGTGTACTTTACATAGGTTGTCTGCCTTTCAAATGAAGCACAACAGAAATAAGAAGTTTCATACCATGCAAAGGTAGCCCCGAAGCTGTGCCTGTCCAGCGTAAACATTGCTTTAGGCATTTCTGCTTTAAAACTGATGTATTACACGGTTTTTTATTGCTTTTCGATCCGTTGAACTTCTGGCATTTAATCACGAACCAACTACAGTGCATCGTTTCACACAAAGATGGCCAGATCTCACGGGTTTTCAAATGTGTCGTCGTACAGCGACTGGTAAAAGTTCAGACCCCTTTAAAAGGCTGCCACTGACTGAATGTCCCCCTGGAACCCAGCATTCAAGAAGATCATATTAAATTACTCAAAAATAAAAAGGGGTTTCTTTTTAAACCTCGAGACCATAGAAACATGATATTGGGAGTTATGCATTGTTGTTAAGAGTCTGAAACTAATTAGGATGTCCATGAAGATACAGATACACACCAACGCACAAGACAGACTCAAGACCTTCCTGAGGAATAACAAATCATAACAGGATTTGCATTAAAAAATATGCTATTGTCAGCTTTAAAATGGGGGAAAAAGAGGGTTTGGTGGCGGACAACAGTCGGTATCACAACAGCTGAAAGAGTCACCAGGCCTCTGAGCCTTTGGCGCTACGCGGGGGGGGGAAACGAGAACAGAGAAGCTCTGCTAAGCTCACAGAGATCAGGAGGAGGACGCAGCAACAGAAACCATCACCGTGGGAAACGTGAGGTGGCGGGACGATGAGATGGAAGAGCTGAGAGGCCCACTGAGGGCGTGGGGGAGGCTTCAGTGAGTGTAGTGTTGTGTGTTTCACAGAAATGTGGCGGCGTGAAGCTGCTCTGGCTCCGGGCGGCAGACAACCAGGCCCGACGCCGTCCGCCCAATCGCTGCCACCGTCCCGCGCTCCTCCTACTGTATTGCATCTTAATTCTACCACTCCCCCGGTCCAGACGGCTGCTGCGAAGCCATGGCCCCGCCGGAACGCCGAGGTGTTTTCTGACTCCGACTCTTAAAGAGCAGCCACAACACAATCGTACAAGCATTTACAGCATTTCCTAAAAGGAGGCGTCTCACTGAACCCAACACCAGCATCATGTAACATAACACCTACCGAACGACTCACTGAGAAGGCTAAGAGTTAAATACAAATATACTGTTTTAAATTAAAATCAAAACTCAAGAGTACAAATCTATACATTAGGCTAAAGGATTTTTAAAGACTGCATTTATAGATTTATTTCTCCAAAGGCACTGTTTGCAACAGCAGACTGCTCTTCCTCTCCCTTTTCCTCACAATAGTGTTCATACAAGCAGGCAGAGAACTAAGAGGGAGCATGAAGAGGAAAACTGAAAACTGAGGCATTTCATGGCTAATCAGCTAAAAGATTTCTCGTGTTCTTTTGTCTCCTCGTCCAGTTCGACACTATCGTTTGTTTCCCCCAAAACCAGGCCTTGCATACGATTTTTTTCTTTTTTTTTTTAGTCGAGACGAACGTCCTCGAACAGCGAAGTAACAGTTGAGCAAAGTCTAGGTGTGGGTTGAACTATCGAAAGGCATTTAGAGCTTCCAGCAACTTCACCAATCATACCTCGTAAAAAAATCAGCAGCCAGAGGTTTACCAAAGACTTCCACACCTCGGTGAGCGAGCTTCTGTGTGGACAGCTTGTGTTTTTTCCGCTAAAACACACAATCCGTGCGTGTTCCTTTTCGTTTTTTAAAACAGCTGCCTTTTACGGTGGAGGACGCACTTTGGTGCAGAAATGGGATTTTGATCTGAGCCGGTGGACACTACGGACAGAGGGGGTCAGCCCAGCGCAGACAGGCAGTGACTTGACTAAAGGCCCTGAGGGGGACGGGGAGTAGGTCCGGGGGTGCGGCCAACGGGACGCCGTCTGCTTTAAAAGACGAAATAGAAAAACAAAAAACAAAAAAAAAACATAGAAAAATATGAACAAAGTCCAGACGGGCTGCTAACGCTCGGGCTCTCAGTCTTGTTGGCGGTACTGAATGACGGACTTGCGGTCGGGCCCGGCCTGCAGCATGCTGTTCAGAGCCTCGCGGACGTCCAGCGCGCTGGAGCTGCAGTGACCGTTGGGGAGAGAGGCGGGGTCGGACTGCTGGAGCAGGTAGCTCTGGGGGAAGCAAGAGGGAGACATGGAGAACAGGGAGGAGGAGGACGAGGAGGAGGTGGGGCAGGGGAAGAGAGAGGCGGTGCCCGGGTGGGTCGACCTGGAGGAGGTGGAGGAAGAGCAGGAGGAAGAGGAGGAGGAAGGGCTGGTTTTCTGTGTGGGCATCTGGGGGGGCAGGGGCAGGTCGTATAATAGTGCGTCGTGGTGGTGGTTGTTGGCCAGCAGGTTGTGGTTCTGCTGCTGTAAGGCCAGCAGCTCCGACACCTTGGGCATCTGAGGCTCTCGGGTTTGTGCAGCTGGCGGGGCGTTGGGTGGTGCGTTCTGGGAGATCAGTGCCTCGAGGTTAAAGCCGTCCGTGTAGTCCACAGTGTTGGCCGTCAGTAGACCCTCTGCGTTTTCGGGAGAGGGGGAGGGAGAGCTCATGGTGAGGTCCAAGATGTCATCCAGGGGGTTCTTGGAAGACAAGTTGGGAGACAGTGTGGGCTGATGGAGTGGAAGAGACGGATTCTTCTGCTGCTGAAAGGGATTAAAAGGCGCTTGGAAAAACTGACGGAAATCGGGGCTGAAGGCGTTGGACTGGTGGCCCTGGGTGCTGCTGACTGAGGAGGAGGAGGAGTTGTTGGGCCAGCTGTTATGGGAGCCCTGCTGGCTTTGGTTGGGGTGTCTCTGTAAGGACTGCATGGCTAAATTGATGGGAGTCTGCTGAAAGGGGGACTGAGGTTGGCCCGCCAGCCCCTGGAGCTGCGCCATGCTCCCAGTTTGCGTTTTCTGTAAAGTGTTTTGGTTTAGACTCTGCTTGAGGATCGGGTTCTGGGCCAGCCTCTGGGCGAGGTACTGGCTGTGAACGGGCTTCTGGCTGAACGGGCCCGGCAGGAGGTGTTTGCACTCCTGCTCCATTTTCCGCTTCTGCTCCTTGTCCCTTCGCCTCTTCTTCACCTCCTCGTCCATCTGCAGCAGCTCCTGCCGCACGCGGGCCACGCAGTTCTCCGGGATCTTGATGCCTGAGGGGGGGGATGAGATCAAACAGGTCCTCAAACATGTTTCCAGTAACTTTAAATTTGCAACAGATGAAAGCCACTTAGTGGAAACATAATATCACTGTCGTCTGTTAATCTTTGTGAAAACAGCATGCATACAGGGGCGCAACTGCTCTCACACGCCGTGTTTATTGAACTGTGTGTTAGCTCCGTTCTGTGGTCGTAATGCTCGAGGGGGCGGCGGGACGCACTGACCGACTTGCTTGTTGTGCTGCTTGGTTTTCAGACGGACGATCTGCAGGATGCTGGAGTTGGTGACGTCCGACACCACGTCGGACACCCGCTTCCACACCCGCAGCAGAGCCCCGCACAGCATGTGGTACTGGCGCAGGCGCATGCCCTGCAGGCACTCCTGGCCCTCCTCGATCTTCTTACACTTCCCATTCCTGGGTGAAAGAAAAGGAAAGATGAAGACGTGATGGATATGTAAGCAAACACGCTCTAAATTCAGCTATTTTAAGCACCGGGTTTGTTTTAGGGAACAAATGTACCCCAGCTGGAGAGCACCTCTAACATGATGGTCATGTCTTCAGGACCTCTTCTAAGGTGATTTACCAATCCTCAGGAAGGACGTCTAACCATAAAAGCACCCAGTGGACGCTCGCGCCAGCCTGATTTAAGCTGGAGCCATTAATCCAGGGGGAGCTGTGGATTTTTGCTTACCAGTTGGCATGGCTGCACTTCTTGAAGGAGAAGGTGAACTGGTTCTCCCAGCATTCCCTGGCTTCCTCAGGAGTCACCTGGAAAATGTTTGTAAAACACCAGGCTTGAAACGAGAACTTATTCACATCCGTGGCTGGTTAAGAATATTTAAAAAACAGAACATATAAGCTTTTTAAGGTCCGAAGAAAGAGTGTCAGCCCAAATCAAACAACAGCTTAAATTATTTCAGGCTTTAATAAACAACACATCAGCTCACCAAGTGGCCTGATTTCAGTCATTTCTGTCTGAGAGCTCCCAATCCGCCGCTTATGACACTTAAAGTCCACAAGGGGGCAGCAGAATCCCTATGGCTGTTTGCTTGTTAGCCGTTCTCAGAGTGGCCAGAAAATGTCTGACTTTCTGTCACATTGTTTTACACTTTTTATTAAATTGGAAATATTTGTGAGAGCGAAATGAGAAAAATTTGGGGGTGTTAAACTCATAGAGAGGAGGTTTCCCTCTCTCTGCGGACACTCGGCCCGACTGAGGCTGTTACCTTCCGGTAACGCTGCAGGAGGTTGTCGAGGTTCTCGGGGTGGTTCTGCTTGCCGATGTTGGGCTTGTAAACGACAAAGTTCTTGCCTCTTCCCTGCTCGGCGAGCAGCACACATGGGTTGTTGCCTCGGAGCTGTGGAGAGAACACACAGAGTCTGAGGGATGAAGAAAGCCCTTTAAAAAGCCTTTCTGTGAGAAATCTCAAGTCTGGACTGAAATCACTTCCAGAACACGGACTCACCTTCTGGGAGAGGTAGAATCCCTCCTCGTGGCTGCGGAGCTTCAGTGACCTGCCATAGGCCTCGTCCCAGGGCATACCTCTGTCCACACTGATCTGTAGGGTGAAAAGATCAGAGACTGAAGCGAGTGCTGCCAGACTGAGAGCCAAACTAGCTCAGCCAGCTGGCACCAAGCTGTGCGCCTTTTAAAGGAGGCGTCAGTGTAATCCAACACCTTCTGTATTCTAATGAGGTTTCTCTGAATCAGACTATGTCCACTAATTCCACAATCTGGCACTTTTATCACAGGAAACAGCCGCTTTGCTCCCCACCATCACATTGTCTCGATCAGAAAAAGGGGCTCAGCTTGAGATCTGTCTTTTTGTTAACAGCGTAGTGGAGATGGGTCAGACTATGCAGGACGGCATGCGTACATGTTTACGTACGTGCTTGTCCATGGCACATTCTACACTTGTTCGACTGGACCTCCTATCAAACCGGATTTGGTTTGATAGGCAGCTTTGAAACGCCAACTGCAGGTTAGCCTTCAGCTAAAAGCAGAAGATACCAGTAATTATCCTGTTCCAACCTCCAACTAGTATGGACATAGGCTCCAGAGCCCCGGGCTAAGCTTGTTTAATCACAGTCTCACTGCAGGCAAAGTGGCATCAATCAGAGCTCCCAGAACGCAGAGGTGGCTGCTTGAGCAGGTTATGTTGAAAAGCCTTATTACTAAAATTCAGCTCGATTTGACAGAAAAAAACTGAATCCTGAATGAAAATCCCCATGAAGCGATGTCTTTCAACCCTTTTACTTCCTGCTCCATTTGCTGGAGCACATTTTTCACTGAGGAAGTGCACTTAAATTAAGTTTAGGAATGGGATTCAGCATGAATCATTTCTTTTTTACAGTTGACACTTTTACTACACTGTGTCAGCGCCCCCATCTGCGAAAAAAACTCTCATTCTGGTTGTTATTGCTCCAGAGAAATGGCAACACATTTTCTATGTGTAGATGTTAATCTTGGCATTTGAGCAGGGAGTATGTCAGGGAGGGAGTATAAATTCAACTGGATTTTGAGAGAGAGACAACACTAAATTAAACTTTTCATTTTGAGAATCTCACACAGGTCCTTCTTTCTTAACATTGAGATTGAATGGCCTCCCTCTCTCCTCCAATGAGCTGCCTTTCTCTCATCTTGGCTGTTTCTCTTCTAAACAAAGTCTTGGCTTTTCAGATGATCTTTAGTTAGGACACAATATTTCGAAGGTGCCAAAGAAAAGATTCCCACAGCTGACGTGACATGAAATATCGCACATTTCACCAAAATGTGGTGCCCACCTTATAGAGAACAACCTGTCCATCCTGAGGATTTCCAGGGGTCAAGAAGATTTCCTGCCTCTCCTCATAAATCTCATCATTACCTGGGGCGAGATCTGGCAGGAACACAGAGAGACAAGTGGAGGATAAGAAAATCTGAACAGTTACCTCGGTTCCCCTTAGTCCCATGAAGTTCCACATGTACAGACACAATAGGTGTCAGTTTAACATTAGTTTTGGAGTTCTACTTGACGATCATACCTAGAATTCCCATGTCATATTTGCCCTCCTTCTTGTCCTTCTCAATCAAATAGTCAAAGTTCTCAATGAAGTACTGGAAGAGATAGTTCTGCATGTGGACCTCCAAACCCAGGATGCGATTCAGGAACTTGGTAATGCTGCAGTCTGAGGAAAAAAAAGAAGTAAAGCTTAATTTCGGGCTGAGACGGACGACAGCGCGGTGTTTTCGCGCTCAGCACTCGAGCCTGAAGCTCCTTGGGCACCTTACCCTTCTCAGTGCTGATCCCAAGACGAGGCTCATTACAGAAGATGCCCACATTCTTCATTCCTTCTTTCATATCTGCAAAAATAAAGGTTTTTGCTGATTAATCTCTGAATATGGGTAGAAATTCTCTGTTTACTGACAAATAACCAAGGCTCAAACATACCTCTAAAGAAGATGTAATCTCCCCCAGGGTATCCTTTGGGAGGGGGCACCTTGTTCTCTATGTGGCCAAGAATAGCTTTGGTGATTTTATCAAGAGCCTTGGTACCATACTGCAAAAGAAAGGGGGTATTTAAAGCCTGTAGGCTAACCCAGTCAAAAGACTTATTCAGTGATGATTTAAGGCCAAACACAAACGAACCATTAAGAGTCAAAGGTTCACATTAAAATAGGCGTCTTTGGAGACTTAAAGCTGAATAGAACCTTTTGAATTTGCCCACCTTATTTTCAAAGTTGTATTTGCTCAAGTCTCTGGATTCAGTGGCTCTTCTGTCTCCGTGGGTTAGTGCACCCTGCACAGCGGATTAGCAAAAGTATTAGTTTCATATTGAGTTTTCAGTCACACTAAAACTACCAAAGGCAATGGCACGTTTGATATTGATTTGGAAATGTTCAGGTTGTGCAAATCAGACTTGTCTTCCTGCTCAGCCTTTAAGTTTGACCCTTTATAACAAAAGGATAATAATTAAGTTGCTATCGTATAATTACTAACGTAACCTTCCAGTAGTTAAGTATGAATTTCTAACCATCTAAATCTGATATAGTATTTGTAAGTTTAACTACCTGTAAAACTGTCAAATTCTCTGTAAGATCTGCATTTGTTTGCTATATAACTGAGGGATAAATGCACTGAGCTAAAAGCATAGACACAATATTTTGAGATTCAACTGCAGCCTGAGATGCGTTTTGCTAACAGATTAAGTTGACTAAACCAAACAAATTTAGGAGCAGAGTTTGAAAGTGAAGGGAAAATCTGCACACAGCTAGCCGCTGGCTCCGCTTCCACAGAAAAGCGAGAGACACCAAAACAAAGACATGACCTCACTGCCCGTCTTGAGTGCTCAGTCTCTCAGCATGAGCAGCCGTGTTTGCGAGCGCTTGGGTTGTATCAAGTTCAGGGAGCCAGGCGGATGAGATGCGACCTATTCTTGATTCCTATTTACCACACGCAGCTGGCAAAGGCAGCAGCGGCTTCCTGGAACCGCCAATCCCGAGCACCCTTCTTGGCCTTTCCCAAAAACAACCGTCATGCTATGTCACTATGGAAATAAATGACTGCCAGTGCACAAATGCATCGATAATGATGGAAAATAGCTGTGGACTTATAAATCATGCAGACAAGCTCTTTTTGCTGCAGTTTTCCAGCGCTGAGCAAGGGAGGGGAAAGACCCTGGATCTCCTGAGGTTTGTGGAGAAACTTCAAGAAAACAAATAAAGAGAACTCTATAAAGAGACTGAAGACAACGGAATAGCACAGGCAACAGGAAGGGCAGAGGGTGAAGGCAGGGTTATGAAACAGACGGCGGTGTAACTAACGAATCAGAGTGCTGCGATCGATAAAGGCAAAACACGACCCTTCTCTGTTTGCAGTGAGACAATTCTTCCCACACTTGATAAGACAACAGGATAAAAGGGCAACGCTCTCCCCTGAGACAGAATTCAGTCCATTAAAAGTGATAGTGAAGAAAATTTGGAGCAAATAATTGCACGAAAGAGCAAGCAGTCTCAAACCCCACACAAACAGTTTAGGTCCTCTATTCTAGTCAAATATTTACCAAGCTTTCCAGTCTCTTAGCCACAATGGAGGCAAAGCGCCTCTCCCCAGCCAACTCTGAGATGAGGAAGATGTACTCCGGGGCCGTCACCTGATTGGACCGATGAGTTCGACCTAGAAAGACAAGAGAGACCTGTCAGTTAGACAATTTGTAACATTAAATCATAATTACATATGAGAGCTACAGCTAACCGAGTGTGGACAAATGAATGAAATGGAAAACGTTTGAGACCCGGAAAACTGGCCGGTGAATTTGTGGTTGTAAAAAGAATAGCTGTGGCGTGTTTATATTGTACAGTGTTTGTATTAAATGCTATCAGTGCACTAACTGGAAGAAGCCACTGCTTCTAAATAACCAGCAGTAAAACAATTGTCCTACTTTGATAAAAGTCTGAAGATACCATTATGGAAAAAGGTCAGTTATAGATATTACATAATAGCTATTTTTTCAACAAAAAACAATACTACTACTTATTAATGAACAAACTTTTTTGTCTACAAACTTGTTTTTCTCCTAGTAAAAATGGCTTTTACTCAAGACTAAATTCCTGTCTATTCCTTTTTAAGGCCCGCTGAATTTCCTAACTTACCAAACTGCTGAATAGCCCTGTCTGCACTCCACGGCAGCTCCAGGGTCATGTGGACCCTGCGCCTCTGGTTTTTTACCCGCTTGTCTGCCTGCAGGGAAATCCCAGAGCTGGCTGCCTCTGAGATGATGGCCACCAACTGCAGGAAAGGAGATAGGCTTTAAATCAGACCACGCTGAATGACGTTTAGACCTGCTGCTTTCAGAAACCAGATCTACAAATCAGCCTGGACGCTGACCTTCTCCCCGTTCATGAAACGATCCTTCTCCTTTATGTTGATGTGGTCAATCGTGGAGCCCTGCTCGGCTCGTGACTCGTAGCGGACTGTGCCGTCCGGACGCCGCACCACACGACCTTTACGACCAGTCATCTACAAAAGTATGAAAGAAGAGGCAAAAACATTAAAAGCTGTAAAGATGCGATGCGAACAAAGCCGTGGAGGAAAAATAAACGTGAATGAAACTGTTTCCAAACCTCAGAGACTTTTTCTGGTCCTCCAAACTTATCAATGAGCACATCTAATGTGTTGAGAGGTAGTTCTTTTCCCAGTTCAGATATTTTGTGGAGAAGGCCCTGCTTCATCTCTTCTATCCGGGCTGTAAATACACGGTAGAGGAGCAAATCATTTCTGCAGCCTGACTCATAAAACTACGCACGCATACGGGGCCACAGTGTCAGCCATGGGCTGGAAAACACCCACCTGCCTGGAGGCTCGTGTGGTTCACAAAGATGACGTCATCGTTGTCGAGCAGCGAGTCGGGTGAGGAGTTGGAGTCCGTGTCCATGCCATCAGAGTCACTACTGCTGTCATCGGTGATGTTTATAACACCACCGATGTCCACCGTGTGCTTGGGCATCTTGGGTTGGCGGCCTCTCGGCTTCCCTGGTGAGCAGAAATGACACGACGCTAAAGTGAGAAACTGACTTTTACTCAATCTGCGACAGAGATAGAAACTAGATTTCCACTACTAGCAACATACAGTAATAGCAAATGTGGTATGGTGCTACAAATGGATCCTGTTCACTCACGTTTTCTCTTATTTCCTGGTGGTTTCTCTCTTCTCTGCTTCTCTGAGGGAAAATGCTTCATGACAAGAGACTGGAATACCCCCCTTGAGGAAAGGAGAGAAAAAAAAAAGACATAAACTTGGATTCAGATATCAAAGTATTAAAGACAAGACAGGAACTTTGAGGCAGGTAGAAAAACATTCCTGCATTCCTGATTTGGCCCTTTTTAGCTAAGCTGTTGATGGACAGATTGACATGTTGTGGTGGGATCTAATATACTCCCAGACGTGTCTGCTGCATAAAGCTTTTGGTCAATCAAGTTCACACACTCAACACTTCCTTTTTTATCCTTTTCCACGAATGAGTCACTCATTGTTTAAAAAGCTGCTACTAACAAACCAGCTGTCTGCTTTGAATGTGGCCAAACCGAAGCGACGTGGAGTGAGTACTTATAGTAGAAAATGAATGTGGTCTGGCCCTGAAACATTGGCAGATCACTTAGCAAATAAATGTGAAATGTCAGAAACCTGCAGACAATGATCTCATTCATGCCTTCATTCACTTTTTCCAAACTGGGTCAAAGGTAACAGAGAGGTATTCAGAAGGCACAGGCTTAAGAAAAAAAAAACCCCCCAAAAACCCTTTTTCACTTACTCTGCCGCAGAAACAAATCTATCAAGATGTCCATCGTTCTCATCCAAGACTTCCCTGGTCCGTGATTCCCCAGTAGACTGGAGCCCGATAACAATGCACTGTGGTGGAAAAGAGCGAATGCATGTCAACAAACCAATTGTGTTACCACAAGAACGCTTAAACAAGGAGCCAGAGCTAGATCCTGATGGCTGCTATCACGAATACACACAAAGCATCGGGCTAAAATGTGTTTAAGCTAACTTGGGCACAGTAAAATAAATAAAAAAAGATTTTTGACAAAATGTGGGGTGAAGAAGAAACATCTGAAAACTTTTGACTTGAAATAAACAAGAACTATGTGTCAGCTCGGCCCTACGTCTCTCTCTCTTTCTCACTCTACTCGTGGAACATCTGCAGAGTTTTGGTCTGTGAACGTGAATGTTAAGCACACTGGGATTCCGGGGTGCGGCGCTGACCTTTCCAGCATCCAGCTCTCTCTTGGCCAGCTCCACCAGGCTGCGCACCTTGGCAGCGATGCAGAGATATTTGAAGAAGCGCTGGTGAGCTGACCAGAACTGCCCCCACAGAGACTTCCTGTTGCCCAGGCCCAGCTCGTTAGCTGCTTGCATGAACACTTTCAGCGCCTCTGCCCACTGGACAGAGATTCCAGATGTGAATTGTCAGTACAAAGATTGGTATTTAGTTTTTTTCTTAATTATAAACATAAAATAATATAACCTACCAGTTTGGCAGCCTTGTTGTAGACCTGTTTGAAGTCAATGTCCAGTCCAATCTCCTCGATGCGGAAGGACACTCCTGCGAAACTCAGCTGTCTCGCAATATACATCCCGCTGACTTTCATGTCCATTGCGACTATCTCCATGGCCCCAACACCTCTGTGTTCACACAGCATATAAATAATTAATACAGTGGGATTACTGGCCGTTGAGTCATAACCGGGAGCAGATTGTGAGGACCTTTCGCTCTTTAGCGTGTGGCAGAAACAACACCCCACTAACCTCTTCTCGATGGCATGCAGGAAGTCTTCAAAGGTTTTAAAGGGCGTGCCCTCACCCCATATTCCCAGACGGCTCATATAGATCATGTTTTTTGGCTCAGAGGCACCTGAAAGAGATAAGAGCAATCCATACTTTCAAATCCTCTTTAATGTTTCCCTGTTGGTTTCGGTGTGCGTTTATCTGTGGGTCAGCCTACCTGTGGCACTGGCATAAACCACTCTGGCCCGCGGCAATTTGTTCTGCAGGTCAAGCACTGCCTTGCCCATCTTTGTGGAGGTGGCGTTCTTGGCTTTGTGGCATTCGTCAAAAATAATCTGTGGTGGGTTAGAGGTCAAGGGCGAAAAACGGGGACGTGTCGACACGCTGACCGGCGCACTGAAACAAAGTCTGAGCTTGACAGGCATTCACATAAACAAAAGGATACGACTCCGTCAAAGTCTGGCTTGCACCAGTCCAGGATCTGTCTAATTCTGGTTCGGTGCTGCCCTCCCGCCTGGCTCTCACCGATCAGCGCAGAATAAGTTGCAAACAGGACTCCTTCTGAGGTAGCTGTGTCTCCATACTTTATCTACAATGAAATGTCAAATATTTACTGTGTCAAACATGTCAAATGTCAAATATTTACTGTGTAACTACTCAGAAATGTAGTCATGCACACACAGTATCCCTTATTCCAAAGCACTCACCTTGTTTAAGGCATGCACGGGTATGTTCGGAGCATTTATGTCTTTGAGATCCCTCTCTGCATCGAACTTCAGGTCATTGGATATACTGAACCTGAGAGGAAGATGAAAATTGGCAATCAGGCCCCTTGGCTTTTACACATACAAACTCATGGACTTTCGGTAGAATCCTGTCTTCTGGATATTTGAAAGGAGATATTTGGTGCCTTGTAGCGGAGTAAATCTCGCTCACCAGAGAGATTTCTTTCTCCCCTTAAGGTAGTTCTCCACGATTATTCCCGCCACGGTGCGTCCCTTTCCGACACCCGCCCCGTCTCCGATCAGAAAGCCCGCCCTCTGGTTGTTCTGGAGGATCACCTCGTGTTGCTGGTGGCGCAGAAGCAAAACACCCGTACGGTTACACTTTTAATCCCGACCGTTCCAAAATGGCCCAGTGGTGTGTGGGCCACCGGCTGGTTTTTCTACCTGGCAGGCGTAGATGACAGCCTCCAGCTGCAGGGCGGACAGCTGGCCGCTGTTGATGGTGGACTCGGGGATAGACAGATTATATGTGATGTCTGGAGGAGGGACGCTGGACAGCGTGTTGGTTTCGACCACTATGTCAGGATGAGAGATTCCTTTCGTGGCTGAACGGAGGGAAAACGTAAAAAAAGAAGGTTTGTGAGCATTTCTTCATTCAAGTGCCCGAGACTGTAGCTGACCGAGCTCATGGATGTTGGCCTTGATTAAGATGACGTACATTTGGAGGGTCGATACTCGGCGTATGTGTCAACATGTCCCAGCTCCTCTGTCTCTTCCTCTTCAGCATCGTCCTCCTCCTCAGGAGGCGGCTGGGGTCTCTGAGCCTGGAAACAGCACAGACGCTTTAGTGAAGAAATTGCATTACTATAACAACTGCAATGGGGAGTTCTACAGTTATTAGTGAGCTGATTGTTATCCGAGCAGTGGAGATGCAGACAAAACCACTATCACTGACAGGTGACTATTAGTATGACTGCTTCTATCAGATAACAAAGTTAAAAAAGACAATTGACAATTTACGTCACCTATCTCATTTGACAAGTATAATGTCAGTGAAATGAATGTGTGACAGACTATTTTGTTATTCAAGTGACACTCCATGTGCTGTGGAGCCAAAAATGTCAAATCTTAAAATGAAGGGCATGTTTTGTGTCTGTAAAAGATGAAGATAATGAGCATTCATTACCATCACATGAGTCATATGTGTGAAACAACCTACTTATTTGTGTATGATTGAGCACTGCTGAAGGAGGGGCTCTTTTAGTTAGAGCTCAGTTTCGTTCTTACGTCAGTTTCAAGAGGTTAGTGTGGCTACCTGGAATTCTCCTAAAGGTGGAGTGCTGATAATAGCAGTTATATCATCCAAACTGGCCAAGCCTTGAAACCTGCTGCCATTGTGCTGTCAACAAAACATAAAATGAAGAAATATAAACTCAAATAAACAGTGGGCCAAATGCATTAAGAAATGAAAGCAACAACAAAGAAAAAAACAAAAATGGAAAAAATATGAGCAATAGCGGCGTGCCTGTATTTGTGTGTGGGCCTTTCAAGGATTTCTTATAGAGCAGCAATCAACATAATGTAATTTGCCTTTCGGCAGTGAAAAGCCAGCAACAGAGGGCAGATAAGACTGTGTGTGTGGGGGTGACATTATGGATGAAATTATGGCAGAATGAAAAGATAAAACAGGCTTTCAGAAAGCAGGATAAATAAATTCCCTTTTGATCAGATCAAAAAAAGATATACTTGGATGTGTTCTCATTCAGCAAAGAGACATAAAAAACAGCACCTGATAACAGCGTTGTTTTCTTGAGATTATTGCCTTCACGACCATTCTGCAGACTATAACTAAGGTGGCAGAAAACAGTCCAACTCAGCAGCGATCAGCCTCTGATGCTGATCCAGTTCCCCTGATTTTTCTATTTTATCTTCTTATTGATACTTGAAGGTTTGCTGCTTATATGCCGGCAGAAAGACTTTATTTGTTGTTGCCACAACAACAAAAGCACAAACACAAGTACAATTTCCAAAGTACATACAACACAAATCTATGCATGTCTTATAAACTGAAATATTTTCAGAATTACAATTAACGAAAAGGGGAAAATGGAAAATCCGATGTATATAAAGTCCGATTTTAAAAACCATGAAAGTCCCATCACAGACCAGTGGTTCAGGGCAGCTGGGATGCTGACATGGTGAGGTGGACAAAGTGGTTGTTATGTTTTTGTTCTTTAAGGGCCACCCCCCATTGTTCAGACACCCAGATCCCACAATTGAAGACCTCTGTGGTCTAGTGGGCGGGTTTTAGGGAATGACCGGTGTGCTTTGCCACTGACCTCTGAGCTGCTCTGTGCTGGTGTGTTGGTGGGGGTGATAGTGTTGATGTCCCAGAGCGTGGGCACCGTGTCCAGGTCGTCTGTGCTGATGAAGGGCTGGGTATCGTACTCTGACAGCGAGTCAGCCGGGGAGGAGAAAAGAGAGTTTGTAGACGGGTCATCGTTGCCGAACAAGTCCTGTGATCACAAAGAGAGCGGAGGCATTAACTCGAAGCTCTGAAGCCCAGAGTGAGTAACGTAAGAAAGAAAACACACAGAACCAGGTATGCTCCTCACAACAAAACAAAGGAACACAACAAGCAGCAGAAGAACAAGCTCCATGCCCCCCAAAATAACAACGACACATAATTAGCCAGTCAATTTTAAACAATACACGTGGCTGCAGTTCAACAAATTATGTTTTCTTTTCGGACTAAAAGAAGTCACTCAAACAAAATCTCATCTCACGCAGATGTGTGTGTGTGGGGGGGTGGGACATTTAAAAGAAGAGCCCGGGGCAGACATAATAAGACTGTGTTTGTGTCATTTCAGCAATGGCTGCCTTCCAGTCGCCCCTCTATTCATATCCCTTCCAAGCCATTAGCGTGCCATGTTCTTTAACTAGCCTCTCACAGACCCCCCCCCCCCCCACCCCCCCGGCCCCCAGAGACGTATAAACATGGACGTGAGGAGACAGAAACTCAGCTGTGTGGGTGGTGGGACACAGCAGACAACTACAACGTAACCCGAGCTGCAACAGTTTTAGAAATGAGAGGAGGGGGATCCTCATTTTATGAAGTGGGCGTAGACCTCGTGTGTTTCTATGCTCGGAGCTGTGAGCAGATATTCCCACACCCCCATGATACCGACGCATCCGGCGGAGGACCACAAAGCTGCCTGGAATAATTTCCAAACAATACATTCTGCCTGTTCAGCACTTTTGCATTTTAAAGGCCCCATCTCACCTCAAAGAGGGATCACTTGTGTTGTATGTAAAAATCAGAAATACTAATAAAATCTGTGTAACAGTCATGGATGGTCCAAACACAACAGGATCCTGTTAGGAGGCTAGAGAGGGCTGGTAGGGACGCCTCCTGTATGTTTTCTAATGAGAGAGAGAAAGTGAGCTGACTGAAGACAGCCGGGCGACACTAGGTGCAAAGGGTAACAAAACTGTGCTGAAAAAAAAACCTTGTTAAGGTCAAAATGTTCAGGCAGAACTGGAGCTGAGCTTTGGGCTGTTCTGCATTCAGTATTTCATTCGAATTTCAGTAGGAATCTTGGACTGCATTGCCCCTCGAAACGTCAAACAATCCCACAGCCAGGCATAACTCCACATTCACACACAGCCAGTGAGGGTCCGGAGAATAATGTGCTGTGAGAGCCCAAAGTACAAAATGTCTAGAAAGAGAGATAACCGATTAGCTGTGACGCTGACTCTTAACAATATGCTGCTACTGATTAATTCCTAAAAGCTGGCCGGACATCTGTCATTGGTGCCTGTTAGCCATTACTCACAGTTCAGCTGAAAATGTTCCACAGCCATGAGAGGATGAGACTCAGAGCCTGGGTGTCAACATGACGACATCGTGCGGGAATGGGACATAGTGAGGCTTATAAACAGCAGACGGATTAAAACTATTTTTGAGCGATGCCTTCTCACACACACGAGTGTATTTTTGCACCCTGACATCAGAAAGAAGACGGAGCCCACTAACCATCATGTCAGGATCATTGTGAAATGGGGAAAAAAAAAAGGTGGATTGCTCATCTTATCAGTGTATTCTAACTTTACGATTCCAGTTTGCTCTTAGGCTCTCTCGCTACATTTCTCCTGATGTTTGTGTACGCTTGTGTGAACTTCCTGAAGGCATGATCAGGCATGAGCTTCACTGGAAGTCGTCCTGCAGACAGCTATGTGGAGCAGCCAGCTTTTATGAGCTGACAGAGGCACACGGAGCTAGCTAGCTAACCTATTCCAGCTCATCGGGATGTCTTTCTGTACCGCCTCTTTTCTTGGGGCTTCTGGCTGAATAAACATAGCTCAGAAAAGAGACACTGTGTCACGCACAGATAAGCACACGTGTGCAGCGTTTCACGGCGGAAAATAGAGAAATAGATCAAGGTAGTGGCTTAATGTGGAATCCTCTTGTTTGCTTTGCTGGGTTAAAGAGAAAGCTGTCACTACTGCTTTCCTTGGAATTGTAGATTTGGTTATGAACCCCATAAATTCTTAATCATTTCCACGTGCTGCATCACAGTGAATCAGTTCAAGCCGAGGCTCAAACGTCAAACGCTCCATCACCTCGCAGAGAAACCGAACAACCGCCGAGGAGGAGACAAAGCGGCCGTGCTGGTGTGGACTGAGACGCGTCTGATCTGGCTGCCGTGCTAATGGGGCCGCTAAGCCGAGCGGAACAGAGGCAGCAGTGTTTGTCGCGCCGCCGGCCCGGACCCGGGGCCGCTCCATCCCCTGCTCCTGCCGAGCAGAGATAAGGCTCAAATTCCAACTGCTCCGATTGTAATCTGGCTCCCTCCACCGCGCGCAGCCCCGCAATCACACAACTATTAATCCTGCCACTGGCTTCTGTTTTTTTCCCCCTCGATGCGTAATAAATGATGGATCTTCAAATGTGTGTGAATCTTTCTTTTCGGTGCTGCTCTCAGAGTGTTATATCTGCTCCACAGCTTGTTTTTTTTCTAGCCTAAAAAAACAAAACACTAGTGTCCTTGTGTGTACTTACGTGCACACAGCAGAACACACAAAGGCCCATGGACACACTTTTTCCTGTCATTTGTCAGCCCCCTTGTCTCTTTGGCCTTTTACTTGTTCCTCTTTCACTTCGGTTTCTCCCCTGCGATGAATTCTGGAGCCAAACTTAAATCTTGGCGCCGTTTCCGTTTGACCAGTTGCCGACGGCGGCCGGACGGAGCGGTGTGCAGAAGAGCTCGACACGCACGCACACGCCGAACACCGGCTCTCCGCACGAGTGGAAAATTGCATTTCAGTGTCTGAATAATGTCATTTGTCTGCCTGCCGATGATTAACGCCGGCACAAAGCTGCAGCAGGACGTGTGCAGAGCTGCAGATTTACAGGGAGGCGGTGGGTGGTGGGTGGTGGGTGGTGGGGGGGGGTGGTGAGGGTGGCTGTTATCAGCTCTGACGATCAGAACTGGAAAGATTCTATACATAAATCAACAACCAAAACTAAGACCTAAACTAATTCATGAACAGTTTCATTACTGGAGCCAGTACAGTTATTTAGCATTATTAAGATTAATCCTAGCGCCCCCCTCTCTCTCTTTCTCTCTCTCACACTCACACACACACATACACACACACACTTGGCTTCTTGGCAGCATTGCCATCGATCCTTATTCTCCAGAGGTCACACAACGCAGGCCCGAAATATATCAGCGAGCACAAAAGTGTAAGAATTCCAACTTGTTGCTTTTACAGATGAAGACAGAGAAATGAGCAACAGCTGTTCGGAACACACGACTGTGGTGTCTCTGGATATGACGCAGGGATGAGCTTAGGAGCTGAGCCCCTCCGTCTTCCCGGGAGGATGTTTGTCTGTAAGAGCGACTCCTTCCTAAAGAAGAAAAACCTGTTGGAGCAGTAAAATACAAGTTGTGGTTCGTCACACAGGAAATCTGCTCAGGAAAAGTTCTTCCAAAGAACATTTCATAAGAGAGTTTCCTCTTAATCTCCATGAATCACACGTATTATATTTTTTTACTTAAGCAGACTTCTTAGTTGTCTTTCAGAAATTTAGGGGACTCGACTACTCAGTTATTGCCTACCAACACTAAAGTGCCCCAAAATGTTTTAGGAGCGGTTTAGGAACATATCACAATGCTGCGATGTTAATGCTAAACCGCACACTTCAGGTGAGCTCTACTCACTCTGCTCGACAATATAGCTTATTGTCATAGTGATGAGAAATGTAATATTGTGTCTACTCTGTAAGTCGCTTTGGATAAAAGCGTCTGCCAAATGCATAAACATAAGCATAAACATACTGGGTTTGGTCCTGGGCCGAAACCTGTGAGGACTTCAGACAGAGCTCCGGAGCTGGGCCAGAAGGGCTTCCCCCTCCTACACGCTGCCAGCTCGGCTGCCTCCCCAACGCCAGGAAACAAGCCACCTTGTCCTCCCACTTACCCCGCACACCCACCGCTAAACACAAAGTAAAGTGACACCTCGAGTGACCTCTCCGTCTCAAGCGTGCACTTATGTCATCTCTTGACATTGTTTCACTCCCCGTCTTTTCAGCTGGACCCCCGCCCTTATTTTCCACACCGCTGTTTGCATTCTTCTTCCTCTCCCACACAACTCTGCCACAAGAGGAGCCTCTATTAAACACAATCCCTGATCGCAATCTGCATAGCTCCGCCCGCTTCTCTTGTAATTACATTACAGACATCCATTAAGTCCAGACTGAGTTGGTTAGTGCACACAAAACCGCTGAGTTGTGTGGTGTGTTTTCTTAGGAAGTCTTAAAGCAGTGTCCCTACTCTATCATTATCCTCGGGGACGGCGAGCATGTTGCTCAAGCGCCGCTTTTGCACGAGTCATGCGACAGCCGTGACTCTGACATTTCAGAAAGCAACAATGAGACGCCAGCGTTCTCGTTTGGGGTTGTGGGCGGCTCGAGAAAAAAAGAAAAGAAAATCGTCGGCGCAAACGGATCACGACCTCGTCAATAATTCAAGTGGGATTCCTGAAAATCTGTCAGTGTTTTTGGTGTTAGTGTGAGGACGGGGGGGGGGGGGGGGGGGGGGGGGGGTGGGAAACCCACGAGAGGACGCGGTCAGCTGACTGACACGCACGCTGTCAGAAGCCTCCTGCTGACCTGGTCCATGTGGTCAGCAGGGCCTGATTGATGGACCATGTGTGTGTGTGTGTGTGTGTGTGTGTGTGTTTGGAGGATGATCTACTGAGCTGTCTGCATGCCCCACATCCCTGACATATCTGAGGGGCTGCGACTCTACCAGCCTCTCATTTACCTTGACCTCTTCGCAAACTTGGGAGCAGACATTGACTTTTTTTTTTAGCGAACCAGCTGTTTCTGGTTAGCTTGCAACTGACAAGACTCGTCTGCCTCAGTTTGTGGTTCATCTGGTGTGTAAAACAGCGCGGCGTGCCAAGTGTTTAGTGGACGACACAGAAAAGCTCCTGTTGCAGAGCTCTGACGGGCTGAGCTTCTGCCAAACAACTGCACTTTTTAGCATAAGTATACATCTATTATGTTTGATAAGGTTTTTATCCAATATCCTCCCAAAGAAGGAAGTAGTAGTTTACATTTTGTTTACAGGCAATAAAAAGTCAAACCCAGCTTTATTTCCTTTAACTCCTCTGCAACTAAACATGCAAATCTTATTTTCAAAAGTCTAACGAATGACTGATTTGATTTGACGCGGTCAGGATTTAACACGGAAAGGCTAAAACGAGGATGTGTATCAGTCTGGGTCACAGAGTCAAGCTCATCCCAGATCAGTTATCCTGAGCCAATCGGAGGAGAACGCCCGGGCCAACAACCGACTGTCAGGCAAACTTTCATGTCCTGCCAAGTCTGACTAAAGCGAGCCAGGGAGAGCTTGCTGCTTAACAAGTCTCCTTGGAATTTTCCGGTGTTTTCGTATGTTCTGGAAAATAAAAGGATGCCATGTCAAGCGTCCCGGCCGGCAGCTGAAAGACAGAACAGGCTTTAAAGAACTGTCTCTTCAGCTGTGTATTTAGCCTGGAAGCCTTACAATTAGCAGCTCAGGGGGTAGCAGAGCTCCATGAGACAGAGCAAACACATCTATCAGGACAAGAGCGATTAGTTCTCCAGTGGAGGAAACAAACCTGCGGAGCAAATACTGACTAGTAAACAAACTCAGGAACTCGAATCAAGAGAGACCAAAAGAGCAAAAAATAAATAAATAAAAAGAAGCAACAAGAGAAATATCATCTGTTCATGATTTGGGTTGTGCCAAGAGGAAGTCACCCACGGATGGGGAGGGTGAGCTGGCATTCAGAGGCATGTCTCAACAGTCTAAACCTTGAACAAACAGGAAGAAAAAATACAAAATTATCTGACATGCTGCGTCACACAGGTGCCGGGGTGTTTGATATTCTGCTTGCATCAAAAAAAGAGAGCTTAACAAACAGAGTTTTCCTGGAAGCACTCTTCACTTTTAAGCATCAGCAGCCGTCACAGAGCGCTAACGCTAACCCGGAGGAACGACTCGGCTCTGTTCAGATCAGACCTCTGTCACTGTGGACGGTTTACAGTGACCCTGGTTTTCATGGGGAGCTCACTCAAAACCAGCCTGGCTCCGATGTGAGCGGAGTGTGGATGTAAGATGACGTCTGAAGACTCTCGACACGGCTCACCACAGAACACATGCAGCCGAGCTGAACCCTGTCATTTATAAAAGTCACCCAGAAAGTTCAGGGACGGTCTGAGCTCCCACTTTAAAAACATGTTGGAAAAGTAGCTGTTGTAAAGCGATTTATTCAGTTTAGAAAAGATATTCTTGTGCTGTGTAATGAAGTCTGAAATTGAATTCAAGTGACAGTTTTTGAGCTTTGAAATCAGCTAATAGGGGGAGTTTCATTTGCTTTGTGTGTGAGTTAAACAGCTAATTTAATCAAAAGTTGAAAGAATTTAGCTGGAACCTCAAATGACATTGCTGTGCGTGCCCCAGACACGCAGCTTCAAAGGAACTGTGGTCCACGGGCTGCCATCACCCTGTGACTCAGGACGGTGGGCTTGTTGATTTTGCCCTCAGCCAAAAATGGAGTGCAGTTATTATTTTGACAGTTGCACGCTCCTGCAAGTCGTTAAGCTAAAGGGACAGTGTGAGAAGTATTTACAGATGTGGAGAAGTGTGTTTTGGAGGAGAGGATGTGCCTTCACGACATAATCAATGTGAGGAAGCAGCCGCCGGCCGTCATCGGAGTCAAACTGAGGAGATCCGAGCAAAAACTGAACTATGCCGCAACCCCGGTTACACAGAGGCAGAAAGCAGCGGGGACCACGCACAACCCTCCACAACTAACCCAACATAACACAACCAGGTTTGATGGATTTGAACTCAGAAGTGTCAATTTTCGCTCTGTTTTAACAGTATTTGAAAAGACACCACCCCAAAACAGGTTCATGGATAAAGCGAATAACATAAGATGCCGTTATGCTGGAAAGATGTAGATTTTTATTGCATTTCAAAAAAGAGAAAAAGAAAAGAGAGACAAAAGACAGCAGAGAAGGTGCACCAGGAAGTGCACATTCAGCACTTTGATCTTATAGGTGATTTGGGTGGAAAAATACATAAATGCTTGATCAGAAAGTAAGTGTTATTTGTCACTGTATTTTTTTCCAATTCAAAAAGTTCCACTGACAGAACATGTTAGTTCTACAGTTTGAGGAAATAAGAATCATTTTCTGATCTTTCCGTCCTGAAAATCAATTTAAAATCATTCCTGTATTACCAAGAAAGGCCTTAGCTTTGAAGCATGTTTCTTGTTATCCTTCTTCTGCCTCTTTTACTAAAGAATAATTATTTCCCACCAGCGATAATCAGCCAGAGTGTCCCCAAACAAAAAGTCCTTTTTACCTGATGCCATTTTGACCTATTCTGCAATCAAACCCAGACTCTTCAGCTTTCTTTGTGGAATGAAAACACAGCTCACAGAGCACCCATCCTCCTTCTCCTCACTGTCGACCCCCTTTAACCCCACAGTGAGTCTCACTCACTCTCACCGTCATTGTTTATTCACTTCCCGTAAACTACATGCTTGGGGTCATGCTTGAAGTTTAAAGCAATACCAGGAAACTGACAACACGTGCCCATCAAAAGGCCCCACTTATGATTTTAAGGATTGGACTATCTTTTTTTTAATAGTTAGAGCCAAATTCAGCACCAAAAAGAGCAGGAAACGACGTAGTTCTGCGTAGCAAAGATTTGACTCCCTATCTCGCAACAATTAAATGTTTATTTCAGTGGCAAGGAGTGAATTCTGTCAAACACCACGGTGGAAGCGCTTCAGGAGGGCATCAGATTGCTGGCGGGAGCACGAATCCATAAGAGTTTGAGTGAACTTGGGCTCTAATACAGTCACAGGCAGATACTAGAAACAATCCAACCAACACTTTGTAGTCAAATGAGCTGGAATTTAGCTGGTTTCTAAAAAAGCTGAATGAGCTCTGTCTGTGGCAGACAGAATCATGGCCATGTTTAACAGTCGTTCAAAGCACTCAACACAATGCTGTTTATCCAGGAAAGGCAATCGGCCTAATTATCGGCTGTCTGAGGTCAGGGCTGGGAAAGATGACCCCCACGGAGCAGAAGAGCACTGACCGGCAGACGGTGTCAGCAAGGAAATGTACAACCTGACCGGCCAAATTCATTTTCACTTAGACTCCATGATGACTCTGCCAAGGAGCAGATATGACTAATAATCAACAGGATCGATTTATTTATATAAAGCTTATTACATCAAAGTTCAGTTTCAAATTGCATTGAAATATATTCTCTTACTCTGAGATTCTGAAATAAAGGTTGAGAAGACCAGTGTTTTTAGAGATTGATCTATACATTTTTTTTTTTTTAAATGATTAACTACTTAAGTGACTCCCTGTCAAGTTAGTTTAATAATTGATCACTCCCAATCAGGGTCAAGCTGCAGAAAATATAAAGTGTAACAGGAAAAAATAAATCTGGCCTCTATGAGCGTAACGATCGAACTCAAGTGCTTACAAAATCTCACAAGGAAGTTGAAAGAAAAAAAACAACACATACTGACATGATCAGAAGCGTGTAATAAAACTGCTGCGAATCTTATCAAAACATTTCCCGAGCAGAGCAATAAAAAAAAGCGCCCACATGTGTTCTCAATTCCTCCTTAAGCCGATCTCATATTCTGACCGTGAAGTAGAGATATCACTCTAACGACACACACGGCAAAAAGAAGCAAAGGGTGCCCGTACCTTGGGAAGCGGCCGTCCCTGCTGAGAATAAAATTTGGTCCAGAACTGCATTAGAGACATGGGTCCAACCGCTGCCGTACGGGGGGGCGTAAAATACACACACTCGCGCACGCACCCGCTCCCACTTCACCTTGACTCCCTGAATCTGTCAGCCCCTTCCATGAGGGAGTCAGAGTGCCGGTGGACAGCTCTCGGCTGCCTGGCGTCCACTCCACAGTGGACTCTCTCTGGCCCTTTGACAGTTCCCCACACACTGGCGGCCCCCAGCACAGGTAGGTTCGGCGGGGGCTGGCAGCTGGCTCATACACACCCGGGCGGACACACACACACACAGACTCAGGCGGGTCTAGAACATGCTTCTTGCTTCACCGGGGCGGTCAGGTATTTGCATAGAGGGCTCACTCATAGTGATTGAGGACTAGTTCCTCTGAGCGCAAAAAGGTGGTTGGAGAGTGAGTGAGAGAGTAGAAGAGGGGAGGGGAGAGGAGGGAGGGAGGGAGGGAGGGGAGGAGCTTTCAGGAAATGATGCTTTTGTTGGTAAGTGACTAGAGTTACTGGCAGTCGGGCCCTTTTTACTGTACATGGTGTAACTCAACCGCATTTGTAGTGTAAACAGTATTGCGCTCTGGACCTGGCCACTCCTCACACCACGCCGCTGACTGCTGTGTTTAATGGGCCTCAGCAGCTTTTTAATGATTATTATATTTAAAGGCGGACTCCCTGCTGGGTTGCCTCAGCTTTTTGTTCTTCTGCTTGTCTTCAACGGCTCAATTTCATGGCTGCTACTCTCGATTACGATGAAAATCTGCCTGCATCTCTAACACGGAGGTGCAAAAGCCAATAAGCAGGAAGCAAACGAGGGGTCTTAATAGCGTGACTGAGGCTGAGAGACACCTATGAACATGTAAACACAGAGCCCAGATCAGTTTCACACGTTGTTGCTGCTTAAATATTCTGTGGCTCTAGAATTGATAGAGACAGGCCAAACCGGGAATGTTCTTAAAAACATTGTTGACAGTTTTGGAGGTGAATGAGATAGATGTGAGGCAAGTCTGACTATTTAAAGAAGTCTGCAAGAATCAGCCAGTGGACAGTGACAGATGCATTCTTCAGCATGAAAGGTCATTTCCACTTACTGGAGCTAAGGGCGTGACTGTCAGAGACATCTGTTTGATCAAAGACAAAACTGTATTATCGGCTTTTTTTTTTTTTTTTTTCTTGCTGGGAAAAGCCATTCTGAGAGATTCTCTTAAATAAGAAGATTGTGGTGTTCAGAAAGATATAATGTGATTTATTTTCTTTGAAGAGGGGGTCCATTTGCGCGTGTGCCTTACAGGAAGCCGCGATATGCAGCGCGCGGCGCGGCCCTGTAATGTCCATCCCTGCTGGCCAGTCGGGGAGTCAGACGCTGGGAGACAGAGTGGCGCCTGTCCGTGGTGTCATCGCGGTGTGAGTGGGAACCCTCCGAACAATGCGCGTATGTGTATGAGGAAACGTGGAGAGCGATCGGGGAAGACTGAATCATTTATGAGTATCTCCAGAATAAGCAGATGTCGCCCTAATTTGGACAGATGTTTGACTTTTCGTTTTTTACGTTAGCGCAGACGACTTTGAGTTGAGCCGCCAGTGCTTTTGGGTTCCTTCTGGCACATCAGAGCTGAGCTGGCTGCTTTGTCAGAGTAGAACCTGCTCGCTTAAGAACTGTTTGAAGGTGGTTTTCACCTCTCCTAATATAGAGGACAGAAATTGTGCCGGAAGCTGATGCAAATGCGTGACACGTCGGGCAGAGCGACGGTTTTCCAAAGAAAACACACCTTTTTACGACCATTTAAATAATCCTGTCACTTCCTCCTTTAAACCAAAACACTTTCTGTTTGCGCGTCCTATAAGGAAGCAACATGCAAAATGGCATGAATGCCTTGCAAAGCAATAAACACAGCAAATCTAGTCTGTAAAATTCAGTTGGCTTTGATTACATTTTTTTTGTTACCCGATCCCAAATTGTGTTAGCTGAACATTTAGAAATATACCAGAGCACATGTGTTTTGACATATTTAATATTGTTTAAGCTTTGAGGTGCTTAAATCTACAGCAAAGGGCAGAGAACTGCCAGGCAGGAGGCTTTTTAAAAGCAGCTATTGATGTCGAACACATCTTTTGTTGTGGGTGCTTTGGGATTGTCTTCCATGTTGAATCCGTGCACAGCCCGTAATCATAGAGTTACACCTTTACCTTAGACAAAGACCGTGAGAACCCTGTCTGCCGGCACCTTTCCTCTCTACAGTCAGCACGTGTCAAAGGCTTAAGCCGCATTTCTCTTAAGTCACATCCTGCAAAGTACGAGCTTGCGATCTAACAAAAGCAAAACTGAAAAGAGCTGTAAAAGAGCTTCCTAGAAGAGCGTCGTGCACGAGGATGTTTGTGTAATAATGTGAAGAACCACAGAGACAGAGACCGAGCGAGTACACAGAAAAGACGCCAGTACTGGAAATCTGCATAGACATGCCCGTGTGTGAGTGACATGCGTGCATTCAGGTGGCTCTGTGTACATACAGGATACATTTGTGGAGTTAGTGTGTGTGTTTGCAAGACGCTGTTTGCTCACTGAGGTTAGCCGAAACACTTTACTGGAAACCTTGTTGTCGTTCCGACTGTCCGCAGAGGAATTGTCATATTTCAGCTCGGCCAGTGACCACACAGACACAGAAGTGGGCATTTCTCCTTTTAACAATGCCTACACAGGGACATTTCTGCCCCCCCCAACTCTACACAGCTGAAGTAGTCGGGTTAGATAACGGCCACTGTCTGCTCTCATTTCTCTGGATTAATGAAATAAAGTATATACAAATAATTCTCTGTTATTAGTATTCAGCATCATTTCACAGCTTGGTGGATACTGCTACATTTTACAGCTTTCGCGGTTTCCCATAAAGTGACAAAAAGAGCTCTTTTTTTCTGTGTTATTTCCAGGGAATCCTCCTGGAAAAGGCTCTTTGGTTTAGACACGCATCAAATGACCAATTATCAGAAAGTGAACCGAATTTCACAGTCATTGTCCCGACAAATGTGAAAACGCAAACACTTCTGTGTGAACGTAAATCGAATATAATCGCCGGTGTGACAAATGTCTGACCAGGAGATACTATTAATGTGGTGGAAACTTCTGTTTTAATGTGGAAATCTCTAATACTGTTGTATATATTTCATGTTGGAGGTCCAAAATAAAATAAGAAAGACGCATCAAGCTGATCCACCTCATGGACACACTCCATTTCAGTTCTTAGCTTTTTATGTATCGGAACTAATAGAGGATTTAGGACCAATATTAAGCCTCAACGAGGAACCTTTTAGTTCACCCCCCAAAACAAACATTCAGCTTCTGTTTTTAATGATTGCAGCAACCCAGAGATCCACTTCCTGGCCACATGCTGCCATGCTGTCTCCTGACAATGTGAGGATATTCCGGCCCACTTCTGCTGCGCTGCACAAATAAACTCCAACGCTGCGGCACTCGGTGCGAACCCAGAGAGATTTCCCTAATGACTCTCAGCAAGTAACTGAAACAGGAAAATGTCAGAGGTAAACGTCGCATGACAGACCGAAAAACTCTTCCCACACACCGCACAAGACCGCACGCTGTGGAGTTTAGGCTCCGGCTCAGAGCAGACGCGAGGCATCCTGCCTTCACACTGCACACAGCCAGAGACAGGGTCAGTGTGAGGAGCACCATGGAAAGGCAGAAAAGGGAGTCTGAGTGCGAGGCCTGGGATTAGACACGATGGCCCCGTGACTTATTTTTTCTCTGGTTGCCTCACATGACCGGGCGTGTCCTAAACCAGCACGGACAGCTGAGAAAGCACAACACGAGCACAAAACGCCGCTCCTCTCCCTCACGGAGACACGCAGAGTCATCGGGATATTCCGCACTGTGGGCACCAGGAAACCACACCTGCTGCTCTTGAACGGACACACGGGGACAGATGGAAGCCTCGCCGCTTCAAATCACACCGCTGCCTTTTAAATACGCTCCATCGTTAGACACCCACGGCCACAAATACACCAAACGACTTGTAGGAGAGAGAACTCCAGACGGACAGACGCATCCTGGCACATGGAAAACCAGGGAAACCCCCGGTTAATGTTTTAATTTGTCAGCACTGGGTTGCACGTGATGAGGATGACACACAACTGCTTCCCAGATGACCAGCTTCACATTCAGCCTTTCTTCTCTTAACAAAGAAACATCAAACCCTTTCAGGCATCTGAGCAGTTTTTGGGGAGTTATTAACAGCTCTTGCATGAGGGCATCAGGATTTCTCCTTCAAATGATCAGGGTATTTATTCAGGGGACACAGAGAGTCAAGCTTTTAAAAACGAACATGGAGGCCTTTGGTCCAAACTTTAACAATACTTTAGTGATAACAATCGGTATCACCATTTTTAAATTTTATTTGACCCTGAGGAAAGTTATGGACTCAGTAGGATTTGCATTAAAGAAGCACCTATGATTTATAAAAAACAACTTCACAAAAAAGTAAAATAGTTCCCAATGGGGTTTTTGCTTTAAAACTAGAAACATTGAGGTCTTGATGAAGACTCCAGAAAGACCTCAAACAGAGCCGGTCGACCCGTCTACCAGTTGGTGCCACATGGAAAACCTAAACTATGCCGAGCCGTGCCGTGCTGTGCCGAGCCAAACCGCGTAGAGCTGAATAGGCACTAATGGAAAAGCGGCGGTAAGGACATCATAGAGGCTTACCCGTTTACACCGCAGAGCCGGGGCTTTAGCAGCTCTTTTAATCTAAACTGGTCAACTCTGACACAAACACAAAAAGAAGAGCTCAAACACACCTCGGGACGTATGCAGCCGAACCCCTGAGTGCTGGGCAAGTGTTCGGTGGCATGCGTGTGCAATGCCGAGCATTCCCGGTGCACCTGTGTGGGTCTTCAGCTGCTCCGACAGTTCAGACATGCATGTTACCATGTCCAGTGATTCCAGTTTCCTCCCTGTTTCTGCAGACCAGTCAAATGTGTATATAACCCCCATGGAAGAGGAAAAG